TCATGGGGTCCTGCCCCAGGGGGGTGTCAGGGGACCCTTTGGGCAGCGGTGTGGACCCAGCAGGGAAAGGCTCCCAGCTGGGCAGCCCTGAGGCTTGGTGTGGAGGGAAGGCAGCCCCTTCCCCGCTGCCCTGAGGTGGTTCTGTCCATGAGGGTCCCGGTGTGAGCAAGAGCAGCTGCTGCAAGTGGGAGCTGTGGGTTCACTGCTCTCCTGATGCTCGTCTTGGTGCCACCGTGGTTGTCTTTGCCAAAACCCCTGTTCTTGTGGTCTGCGATGTGGTTATAGAATGTAGCTTTTTGTGCATCTTTTGCTCCCCGCATTTTGGTGGTGGCTTGTCCTGTTCCTTCTCCTGAAACTCCACGGTTCCATTAAAAATTTGTGGGAGCTTGTTAAATGATTAAGTTGGAATGGAAAAATGAGGTTCTGGTGCTATGCCTTTCAGAATTACTCATCCTAAGGAGAAAACTCACCTTTATAGGGTTATTTCACTGTACAAGATCTTCCAAGCTATGTGTGGTCACCTCTTGTTTACTGTTCATTGCAAAGCCTCGGGAGGACTCTTGCAGGGACCCTAAATCAGAATTTAAACCTAGTTTAAGATACTGACCTCCATAGCCTTGACAAATGAAGGGTCAGTATTTGCAATGCATTTTTTGGTACCTGAGGACCAACCTGTCTGTTGTATCATGATATATTTGTGATTCTTACAGGCCCTTAAAGAATGAACAAGCACAAAAATGGGTGTGTAAAATGCCTGTCAAGATTTCTCTTTGAGTTTCAGTGGGAATAGAGACCATACTGAACTTAAGCTTTCCTCTGTATATTTTTAATAATTCAGTTATTTTTTTTCTTTTAGTTCAGTTAGAAGATGAGATGCTAATGAATCACCAACTGATTTTACAAGAGGATTCTTTGCTGCTTTTGTGGCCACAATAAAATAATTGGCAGACTCGAGCCTTCTAATGCCTTCATTTCTAGGAAAAATAATACAAGAGGGTGTATTGCTCTAGTCAGTCCTTAAATGGAAAACTTACCTCCTGAACTGAGATGGGTTTTGGCACTTTGCTACATGTGTGAAACCAGACAGCTTTATTACCTTGGCTACAGAATGAGATATTGATGTCATTGTTATTAATATTATCTGATGGAATAATTGACAATTTGCTTTTAGAGAGAAACGGGTCTGTGGCGTGTCTTCTTACTCCTACCCTGCACAGAAAATCCCTGGATGAGCATTGCCAGGGTAATTTTCTTTGCAGTCAGTAGCCACTTCGAGTGTGTTCCTGACCACCTGCAGCTGCTTACAGCTGGGTAAACTGAATTCTAATGGCCTTTTAAGTGTAGCTAATTACAGGGGCTGCTTCTGTATGGTGAATTTTGTTTGGACTTAAACACGAAGTGGGGCCTATTTGTCACTTTTATTTCCTGCTAGTAAAACACACAGAAGTTATGGTGTAGCCCTGAGATGTCTCTCTATCTCAGTCCTCACTTCTTTTAAGGTGTAGATAGTCCATTTGTTCTCTGGGGTAATTCAGAGAAGCAGCTATTCTGCAGGAGCCAGCTTAGGTGTGGTTTTCATAGGCAGAAACAAGGTAGTTTTGTCTTTTGAATTTTAAGAGTGATTTAATTCAGAGGAGAGATGCAGGGGGGTGGGAAAGGGAGGGAATGGGAGCAGCACCATCCACTTGTAGGAAGGGGAACAACCCCTTCCAATTGATAGTTCCTTTGGGAAGAGCTGCTGGAGTAGGAAAGGATGAGAGACTAAGTGGCAGGAGGAAGCTGGAGGGGAACAGTTTGTTTTCTTACAGTAAACCCTGAGTGTGCCTTCTTGAAGGCTGTGTAGGCAGCACTGTAGCACACATTGATACAGACACTTTTCCTTTTTTTGTCATCTTGTACTTTGAAATACATGTGTTCCCTATTTTCTTGTTTTATCAACTTCTCCCTCTGTCATTTATAAACCAAATTTAGGAAGGCAGGGTCACTGCCTCAAGCAGTGATACAACACACCATGATATCACAGAGGATGAAAGATTGGGAAAAAAAGTGATGTGGAGAACGTGGTCACGGATTCAGGAAGCTGAGGGCGGGAGAAAGGAGTCAATTGGAGTGGATATGTAGATGTTGAGCAAATGGGAGGAGAGGTGACTAAAGAAGAGCATGTGCATATATAGAAAGTCATGAACTTGTCTCTGCCCACTCCGAGGGAGAAGATATTGTGGGAAACTTGGTTATACAAGAGTTGGGACTCAGCATCCTTAGAGCGGCTCTGAGTAGGTGTCTGAGCCAAGCCCGGGTAGTCCTCAGGAATGTTAACCTGTTCCTGTGGAGCTGGGTTATCTCCTGGATTCTGTGGTAGAAATGGACTTTCACCTCACAGGTTGTGAGAATAGTTCCATCAGGCGGTCGTGCTGTCACCTCTAGTGCCTGGGCACTGTCCCTGGAGGAAAAGGACTGTGACACATTGGACACAGTAAGAAAGGACTGGCCTTGACGATCTAAGAGTTCTCTTCTAGCTCATTGTTGTTCTTATGATGGATATGCCGTAAGGATATGGATGTAGATAGATCCATTATGCACAATTGGAATAAAGACTGAGTTGGTGTTTGGCTGAGCTCTTCTCTTTATTACATGACTAAATAAATTGAAGCCATTTTTCCTTTTGTGGAAATAAATAATCCTTGCTGTCCCAGCCCTATGTATGATTTCCATTTTTAACTTGCCAGTAAAACATAAATATTGTGGTTATATATTACCCGATTGTTACCATTCAGGCAAAATGCGCCAGAGTTCCTTGAAACAATGTATGCATGTGATGGACGGTGCTGCAGAGCAGGTGACGCAGTGGTGACTCAGTCCCCAGTGAGGTTCAAACCCTTCCTGCTGCACTGAAAGCCTGTTCCTGCCAAGGCAGCTCAGGAAATGCACCCACTCTGCCTTCTAGGAAAGCTGGGGTAATTAACTTAAGTGTGGGATAAAGCTTTTTGGAGACACATGTGATGTTCCTTTGGAACACAATAAATCATTTTCATATTAAAAGCTGGAGGAAGACCCAGAGTCATAAACCCCCTTTTGTACCAATTTTGCTGCCTTTGCACATGGCTGGGTGGTCAGTGAGCTCAGTCCTGGGAGGATTAAACTAATAGTCCCTGCTGTTATTGCTGCAGGGAATCCCAGGTGATGGCAAACCTCCCTTACGCCGGGGAGTAAATCACATTATCTGCTTTATGCACCATTATTGTAAAGTGGGTTCTCATTTGAGACGCTGCAGTGGCTTTATGGCTCCCTGAGCAGGGAGGGGGACTTTGCCCCTCGCTCAGCTTTAATATTCCCCCATTCTTCTCTTTCCAGAGAAGGGACAAAAACGAGTGTTTGGCAGCCACTGGCTTGGGTTTTTCAGTAGAATGTCCTTAGTGAGATTTGCAGAGGTTGCTGCAGATGAATTCCCCAGAGATTTTGTCTCTGTATCTTCTTGTGTAGTTGCAGCATTGAGAGAAATTGCCATTCCTAATAGCCAAGAAAATATGGTTACTGTTGATTTTTGGGTTTTTTTGGTGGTGTTTTTCTCTGAATTTCTGAGCTTTCCTTTGAAGCACTGAGTTCACTGTGTTCAACTTGTGTCCAAAACACTCAGACACTGAGCACAAAATGGCAGTGACTTTGCTGTTAGAGCACCATTCACTGCCACTCCCTGAGTGTTCGGGGAGTCACGGGTGCACGTGTGGGGTGTCACACGTGGGGGTTGTGATGGCTCAGGGGGTCTGATGCTGAGGGCAGGAAGGACATTTCTGCTGGATAGGGAATGAGCCACTTTGCCCCTAGAGCAGTGCTTTCCCATCCTCTGCAGCTGAATGCAGTACATGGGGAAGTTGCTGATTTAATAACACAGCTCCAGAGGAAACACCATCCCACAGGAACAGGAGAGAGGAGCTGGAGAGTGTCCTGGAGGACAAAAGGAGTTTTCAAGCAAGATTTCCAAAAGAGATGAAGAACTCTTCAGACAATGACACAAAGGTGCTTTCCAGGCATCAGGAGCTGCAGAGAAGCTTTGCTATTAATGAGATGTTCTGGATTGGATGTAAAAAGCAAAAACTAAGAGAAAAATTGGAGGTCTGTGACACCAGCAGGTCCCAGAGGGTGTTGAAAAAAGGAAGGTAAATGTGAATGGTGTAGAGACCAACCTGTTTTGTCTTGAAGGGGTGGTTGATTTACTTGCACAGCTCAGAATGAGCTAATCTTCCACTGGAGGAGATATTTCAAAGTCATGGGAGCTGAGCTGGTTCTTGGTTTGCATTGTATTTGATTCACACCAGTGACACACAGGACTGTCACTGCCTCGCCACTCTGACGTACTGGAGTGATACTGGGAGATATTTATACCTGCTGCCATTTCAGCTTGTGCCATCACCCAGCGTGGACTGGGAGAGGATGCCTGCTGTTTTGGGGAGGTAGATGCTGTCTTTGCAGTTGTTGTAAATGATTTACCGTCTCAACATTGGCATTGCTTTCACTCATGTGCATGATGCTTATGAGGTTGGATGAAAACATTGGGATGCTGATAGATTTGTTGATGATTATTGGGTGATGTGCCTCATAATATGACTAATCTTTCAAATTCCATCATCTCCAAGTTATTGAAATACTTGTTACGACAAAAAATGGAGTATTAAATAATATTTGAGCCAGGCCTCTTAAACTTTATAGTGTCATTACCAGTGGATCAGAACTGAGGAGAGAGAATATAGTTGTGACATACACAACACATAAATTTAACATTAGTTTAGGCAAGCTGTTTAGTTTATTGTTTGACTAGTCTCTACATGGATTATCATTACAAAATGTAGCCTAATTTCTCCATATTGGGAAAAAGCTGAGTATATCCTATCACAGCTCCTTTTATCTTTAATTATCTTTTTTTCTTGTAGGATTTCTGCAATTCAGTTTCAAATTGTTGTACAAATTCATATGGTAATCCTTTGGACATAGCAGAGCTTCACATTGAGGTGCTCGTCCTGATGTTTGGTTAGCTTGTCTGAAAATGTCTCATGTGTGTGAGATATGGTGAGAAAAATCAACAATTGCAAAGGATAATCCATGGGCAAACAGTGCAGAGAGTGCTCCCTGCATGCCAACGGTTTGGCAGTGCTTATGCCCAAAGTTCCGTGTTTATTTCTGCTGAAAAACCACCAAAACTGAGAGGAACTCACAGGGAAGTGGTTAAAGTCTCAGGGTGCTGTGGTTGTTGGTGTCAGAGCTGTAATGGGTATTGAAAGGAGGTTTTGGAGGAAGAAATTAGATCCTGCAGGATTAACAGGAGGAGTTAGTTACTCCTATGGAGGAGTAGTGAGCAAAGTTAGTTTGGTCTTTGTCATCAGTGTTAGAAAACTCCCTCAGGTGCTGGTGTTTCCAGGCAGTTCTGTGGCAGTGACTTGGGGCCACATCATGTGTTCCAGCTCCTGCCATTGGGCTTGTTTCACAGCTTAATATCAACACTTGCTCCTGCCTCCTGTGCTATTTGTTGCCAGTCCTTGGGACCTCTCTGGGACACAGCCTGTGTCCTGCACTCCTCTCTCAACACATCTATGTTTCCAGGGAAATGTGCTTCTCAGTGTATCTTGGTGATTATAGAAATGCTGATAGAATTCATGGACATCCAAGCTTTGGTAGGAATGCACACCAGAGGCAGATCTAGGATGTATTTGTAAGTACAGAAGTTGAAAGTATCAGCAAATCCTGCAGCTCCTGATTTTGTCCCTTATTGGTGCACAATTGGCTGAGCTGTTTATTATTTTCATTTCTGTGAAGAACAGCAATAACAGGACCGTTTATAGAAACTGCACCACCGAGCCCCTGAAGTTGGCTCAGCCTTGCTTTTTTTTTTTCCCCAAGATTTGACATGAGTGCTAACTTCAGAACCGCGACATGACTGTCTTCTGCTTTCCTTTGCAACTCTTTGGTACTATTTTTTTCCAGAGATGAATCGTAATGCCCCATTTTGTCTATTAAAGGCCCTGCCTGAACTCTTTGGTCACCTTTGCACTAAAGTTGTAGGGTATTTGTGCCAAAATGAGTCTGCAGGAGTGAGTCAGCATCTTCCCTCAGCCCTTCAGTGTCTGCTGGTGGGGAAGGTCAGCCAAAAAGTCTGCTACTTGTTGCACCATGTGGAATTAGCTAGAACTGTGCCTTTCCCTTAATTCAATCACTGGTTAATTTAATTATATTCTTTTTAACAGGTTAATTTTTTTTTTTTAAATCAAGCCACCCAAAATTGAAACTTATAGTGTTTATTTTTCTAAGCAATTAGGTAATTGATTAAACTACTGGCTATTGTTAGTGCAATTATCTGAACTGGCTCTTGATTAATACTGACAGTTAAGGAAAAGAGCTGTTGGGGATAAACCAACCAAAGAATATCAACAGGATGGGTATTAAATTTTACATTAAAATTGCTCAGAGTGTGTTACCGACATAAATGCTGTCACGTGTCACACCGTGGTGATCAAATGAGCGCTGGAGGTCAGTGAATGAGGTAGGATTAGGTATGAGAAAATCCCTGATTTAATCCTTAATAACATGACAAGTAGCTGGATAAAAGGTGCTGTGTAGGGATGGATGATATTTATTTATAGATCAGAGCTTGTGTGTTCTGGGACATATAAAGACATGATATTTATCTAATAATATTTATCTTAAAGACATGATATTTATCTAATAATATTTATCTGTCAATGACCCTGGCTTTCACACTTGCAGAGCAAGGCTGGTGTTTATCACTCCTAATTGTTTGCTGCAGTTAATTTGCTGGTACTAATGAGATCCTGAGCTCAAGCGTTGCACTCAGGTACATGGATTTGTTTTTAATTTTTCTCCTCAGTGCTTTTTGGGGATGTTTTGTATTGAGCAATGTTGATGGAGATAAGATTTCTGTCCCTTTATTCCCATTTTTTCCCCTCTACCACGCAGTTCAGCGGTGTTACTGTGAGACTTCCCTCTCCTGTTGATTTCTCCCTGGCCAGGACTGGTGGAACAGTCAGTGCTCGGGTCTGCATAGCTCAGTCCTTGCTGGCAAAATTAGCAGGAGGCAGAAAGTGCCTGCTGCTTTTTCTACCCCTCCTTATCTATTTTTCAGTTTGTCAATGACAAGCCAAATGCTAACATTTATAGGGATAAATTATGACTAAAATAATTTGCATTTAAAATGCAAATGAATGAAAGCATCAGCAAGGAGCCTTCTGCTTCCCTCTCGGAGCACAGGCTGGTACTGGCATTGGATCGGTCCAGAGAGGCACTGGGTATAAAATAACCTTAATTGGAGGAGCTGAGAAATTAAATGGGCTCAGCCTCATGCTAATTCCTGTGATTTAATATGACATTAGAGGGGAAGGATTGGGAAGGTGCTGAACCACTGACTAAACCAATCACCAGAGCTGTAAATTACCCTGCTGGGATCCCAACGGCAGATTGAGAGGCCCCAATAAAACTCTGAGAGGTGAATAAAATCAAGCTTGGAAGCAGTTTGTCGGGATCTTGGGGCTCATGTGAATTAGAGCTTGAGTTTCATTGTTCTTTTTTAGAAGTTGGCTGTTGTAACACTGCCTTGTACTACCCAGGACTGAGGTTTTGTCCAAGGTGAAAGCTGCTTGTTCATGGAAAGCCCTTTTGTGCTCCCCCAGAACCTCTTTCAGGCAAACTGGTCATGCATCTCTGAATGTAGTGTTTTCCTGTTGGAAGCCTAGGGTCCATTTTTTGCATTATTTACTGATTTCTAGGCTTGTAGGTGCCAGAAGGACAATGTGGAGAATGTGTCATGGTCTGCCTGTGGCCAAGGAAAGATGTGCCGGAAGAATTCAGTGTAATGTTTCAGTGCTGCGGTAGCAATGGTTAACTTGTTTCCTCAATGGGACATGAAAAGTGTTGCACAGCATGACTTGACCATGGCAAATGAAATATGATTTCTCTTCCTTTATTCCCCTAACTAAGGTGTTTGGGTCTAAAAGGAAGTGTTTGTAAAGCCAAGCCTGCTTTATTCTGTGGTACAGAAGTGTGGTAGCCGATGATAGTAATTACCTCACACTGGTTTTAACATTTCTGCCCTCTGCGTTTTTACAGCCATGTTGCTGAAGATCACCTTGTCTTCTGGAAGCAGAAACACAGTGAACAGATGAATCCCTCCAGCTAGACATTCCTTCAGTAGATCCCTCTCCTCATGGAACACCCCAGCAGGGAGGAGATGGACTTGAAAGAGGAAGGTTCCCAGGTGTGGGCTGACTCTGCAGCACAGGAACAGAGCACTGCTCAGGTGATTAGTGCTTTTCAGAGCTCATTCTGCTCAGGATGGATTGGGATTGATGTGGAGGTTTTGTTTCCCATCCAACCCTGGCTTAGTGTCTCAAAGCTCAGCTTTTATTTGAGGAGAAATACAAACATGTTTGTGGTGATTTTGGATTAAAGCTTCAGAAACTGAGCTGTGCAAACCACAGCAGTGAAGACACAAAGCTCTAAAACCGAGCTGAATAAAACCAGCCAGTGGCTCTAGAAGTTTCAGTGTCCAAATATATATATATATATATATATGTATATACAAAACCATGTGGGAAAGTAAAAGGGTGCTCAGAGTAATGGATATTAACAAAATCTTTGGTCTGTGGCAGCCTGTTTGATGGCATCAGTCGAATCAGTTGGAGCTGTGGGTGGACCTTGGGGAAAGTAATGAATAATTTTTTCCTGTCAGACATCTGGGTACTGAGGAAGGGAGAAATGTTAATTGTAGGCGACTAATGCAGTCAGATTCTGATGTGTGCAGCTTGTCCCTCTGACTCTGAGACAACGCAGCTGGGAATTTCTAAAAGGCTGTAAATTGATTTATTCTTTTAAGTATGTAATGAAGAGGGTGCTGCATGGTATTTGACACACAAGCTGAGAAATTCTGCCTCTCCTGGTAATTTCCAGCTTTGAAATTTGCCAAGAAAGGCAGTTTTCAATGCTCCTGTTCCCTTCTCTCTACAAGGGGATAACTATGCTGCTGTTTGCACACAGCAGTTTTAAGTCTTAATTAGTATTTGCAGAGTGCTCTCCAAATGTGAAACTGTAGTGTTTGTTTGAGGATTTATTGTACAGAATCAGCACTGAGCAGCCACGGGGGAGTACCAGGTGTCTCCTGTAGCATAAGCTGAAAGGTGAAACAAAATAAACAAAACATGTAACTGTGGCATCGTTTTATGTGAAAGTGTTTGATGTGAATATGAATACAGATACTCAAACTAGGTTTCCTGCTAACTGTCCTATTTTCCTATACACTGGAAAAGGTTTTCAGCATATAAAGGATGTCAAAAGCTAAATGTGTTCCTATTTCCACTGGAATTCAGTATTCTGACTAATGTAGGCCACTAATCATCATTTATGATCATAATGTTCTGTCAAAATCAACTTGTTTGGATTTAAACTGCTGCCCTAGACATAACTTGTTCCAGTAGTCCTTGGAATCATTGCTTAATGCTTTCAGTTACGTTTGTCTGTTTAAATAGCTGAATTTTCTCCTGATACTGCATGTACATACTAGAGAGAAGCAATCTCACATGCCCTACTGCTGCCTCTGAGAGGTGCAGTACTATAACTTGAAGTAATATCAGAGTTAATAAGTTCTGTTAGCCCTTCATAAGATAAAAGAAATTATCTGCAACTACAGAACTAGCTGAATGAAGTCATTATCATAAATCCAGAAAGGAACATGAGCATAAAGGGAAACAACGTACCAATAAATTCCATACATACACCAGTTCAAATATGAACTACTTCTCTTAGGCTTCTCTTTTCTTCTCTTGTTCTTAGTGCAAGAACTAAGTATGGGTGGGTGCCGTTTATACCAGTTGAGTTACAATGCAGAGTAAAACCAGGAACTGATGGGAGTTGGTGTCCAGGTTTCCATATTGCCACCATAATTCAATGAGATTTTAAATGTGTGTTAGACAGTGACAATTTCAAACTGAGGTTCTCCCTGCTTCCCAAGGCAGCCTGTGTTGTCCCCCAGGCCTGCTGTGGTGTCACTCCAGGACGTGTTTTCCCCCCAGGTGCACTTTGTCCCCGAGGGGGGGGCGGTGGCGCAGATCGTGTACAGCGACGAGCAGGAGCGGGGCCCGTCCCAGCAGGTGGTTTACACGGCCGATGGCACCTCCTACACCTCGGTGGACACCTCGGAGCACACCCTCGTTTACATCCACCCCGTGGAGGCTACGCAGGCACGTGTGGTTCCCAGCCCAGCCCGGGTTTGGCACCTAGAAAACAAACCAGTCTTGTTTGGGATGAAAGCCAGTCACCAGCCAAGTGGTACGACTGGAAAATAGCAGTTTTTCCTGCCCACTGCTGAGCAGGGACTTCGTGCTGTTCATTTGTCTGATGTGCAAATGTGCTCATCAAAGGATGTGGAGGCTATGAATTGTGAAATGCTGGTTATTTCACTGAAGGTGGACGAGATTATAATTAACTCAAAGGTGTTTTCCAAAACATGGATAATCTCTCCAGAAATTCTGCCTCTGTTGTATTCAGTAAAAAGCTAAAAGCCATCTATGTGCCTTCTGGAAGAGTTTTTGTTTTGTGTAACGCAGTTGTCCTAATTGATAGTTACAATAACAGTTGTGTCTCTTTGCAGAGGATCTCAGTGTATTCAACCTAATTTTGTAGTCTCTCTGCAGAGTTGTTGATTTTATAGACCTTTTATATTCTTTTGCTTTTGCATAATCATATCAAATAGCTTTTATTCCCTGACAGCACGTGTTTGGATGGGGTTAATATGCTGTGCATCTGTGGCTCTGTGTGGACAGATTCAAAAGGACCAGGCTGGCTTTGTGGAGGGTGTTTTATAATGTTTTTGCTGACAGGACAGATTAGCAGAGCTGCAAAGTGCACGTACCTGACACCCCCAGCCACGCTGGCAGGGCCTTATGGCACGGTCTGTCCTGTGCAGCCCTCAGCTGTTACATAAAAACAGCTCTTACGTGGTGGGTTGTCCTGAGAGGATATTTTGGGAGGATATCTCCCAGGAAGTTACTGACAACTAACTCCAAAACTCTGAATACTATCATTTTGTCAAAAGATACTGTCACGCAACTGAGATTAAATTATCACAGTGCTAAAGGAAATTGTATTATGCCTTATTTTGTTGAGCCAAGCTGCTACAAGCTCAGGTTTTGGCAAAGTAGGCAAGGCTGACCTCAGTCAATCCTTAGTTTTCATCTGAGTCTTGCTTTTCCAGGCTCCCATCAGGGCTGTTCTTGCAGAATATTGGAGTTGGCATATCTTCTATGAAATTAAACAGCATCTTGCCCTTACTAAATTTTCATGTGGGATGTGCCTGATAGCTCCTCAAAAGAAAGTGTGCAGAAGTCTTGCGAATTTGCAGGAAGAAAAACCTTACAGTTATCTTCTATCCTGCCTTTAAGTAGTTTTGGTAGAGATTTTGAATTGAATTAGAATCCTGTAGATTCTATCAAATCAACAATTGACAAATGATTTCTGTAATTAAAAAAGATAAACCAGGTGAAACACTTTAGTTATACAGATGAAAAGTGCCACATAATTATGATATTAAATTTTTATGGAGCACCACCCAATTTTAATTTCTATCTGTGTAGATCCACTTGGGTAAGTCGAAGTAAAGTTCTGTGATAATAGTCATGTTAGAAGTTGGCAGAGGCTTAAATGTGGGTCATTTCTTGGTGGCAGGGTAATTTTTGTGTGACTTGGTAGTAAACAACACCAGGGCTGGTTTGATAAGCCTTTTTCACTTTGTCTAGACTCTGTTTACAGATCCATCCCAAGTGGCTTATGTCCAACAGGATGCCACCACCCAGCAGGTAAGGAAGAGACACTGCTTATCTTGGACCTGAAACTGTAAGGGGAGAGTTAGGGAAGGTAAAGGGACATTGTTGTGGTGCTAGAGGGTAACGACTGTCCCTGCAATTGTCCAAAACCAGTCTTCAGTTATGTCCTGTCATCCTGATCAAGGGCAAAAACCCACTATTGCTATGGCCAGCTTGTGCATGAATGATAATGAAAGTTAAGACTGACTTTGAGTTTATTGACTTCAATTCATGCTCAACAAAAATTCTAATTTACTGCCCTAGATATAATGAAAAATCTTTCAACAGTGTCCCTTTAAATGAGTCAGCAGCAGATGTGGCTGACTTTATCTGAACATGCCATTCTGGAAAGGCTGGGTTTGCAGTTGTCCTCATACAGATTCTGATCCAAATGCCTTTTAAGTCCACAAAAGGCTCTTGAGGGATAGAAAAATTGGATCAAATGCTACTTTTACTAGAAGCTTCACAGGAAATGAAGTGTAAAACCTGAGGAAGTTCAGTGAGTGGCTCCCTTACCTCATCAGGGTGTGCTGGGCTTGCCAATGTGAGGTAGGCGGGGAATAGAATAAAATGGAGCCTGTGCTTATAAAGTTTCGATGATTTTCCTTTTTTTGTAGTGCCTCATGGATTCAAAGGTTTTATTGTTAACTCTTACTTATCTTTGGGGACTGTATTGTGGTAACCAGGTATAGACAGCTACTTTCAGGTCTCTCTAGTTGAAATTCTCTGCTGTCATGGACTTTAAATCATTACTGCTTTAATGGCATGTGTGAATGGATGTGTTGGATCTGAATCATCACTCAAGTCATCATTAAAATGGGTGTTTATTGACAGTCTTGGGGCAGAGCAAAGGGTTGAATGTGTACTGAAAACAAATTTTATTGCTCAAAGACTTTATAAACTGTTGAGGCACAGACAGGAAACAATGATTGACACAGTAAAGGTGTTACCTGTCTTCTGGTTCTCTGGAATATTTTGCTACATCAATTTCCCCGCATTAAGAAGCCAAAAATTCCTATTTAATTGTCTTAAAGCTTATTTAACACACATGATTAATTAAAAGTAGAGATTACTTGTGTGCAGTGCCGATGAGACTCTAACAGGAGATGTGCTGTTACCATCCCAGGTACAAGGGCGGGAGCACTTGCGTGTGTCCTCAGCCTGTCCTCCCTTCCAGCACTTTCTGACATCAGTCCTGGCAGATATATTAATTTTTTGGAGGCTAGTTAATCCCTTATTGTGGCAACTCCTGCCTCTGCAGGTGTTTTTACATCAGCATGTCACGTGGGACATCCCTGAACTGACAACAAATGATAAAATAACAATGAAAACTCCCCTTGTCTTTTAAAAGAAACTTTATCTTAAAAAGAAATTGAAAAGTTTTTAAAAATAATGCCTACACTCTGTGCAGTGCCCGACATGGAAATGGAAGTAAGGGTATGTTTGAAGTGTGATTAGGAGTAGGCAATGCTAATAGTAGGTACAAGCTCGTGTGACCCTCTGCTCACTGGCAGACTGGAGCTGTGCCATGGAATAATAATGCCTTTCCTGTTGCCACTTGGCATCAGAAATGAAAATACTAGACAGCTTAGTTCAACTGTCATCCATCTTTACCATCGCACTGCTCCCTGAAGTCTTTTTGCTGTAGTTTTTAAGCAGTTGCATAAATTACTCTTAATACCTCTTAAAGCAATTAGATTTGGAGTTTTAAGATTGTCTCCTTGTGTTATGGATTTTCTTGTGTGCTCCTTCACTGCTGGCACAATTCACTGCACTCAGTTTTATCTGATATTTATTAAGCACTCTGCAGAGAGGCAGGGGCTTGGATTTTAGCATAAAAGCTGCTTAACAGTCAGAGGCACAAACTAGAAACCACATGATGTCAACTGTAGAGAAGGATGAAACATCATGTGGGACACCTGTGCAAATTCCTGTACAGATAAGCAGGAAACAAAAGATAGGAAAGGTGATTCCTGGGATCTTATTTCTGCTTAGTTTTATTGCTGAATATGTGAGAACAGTGTGGTAATAGGCATTAATTTGGTTGTTACTGCCCCAAAAAAGTATGTAAACAGAAATGCATAGTGTGACCAAATAATGTAGAGGAAAATAATGGTTGGAATCCTCTAGTTTGAGAGTTTGATCTTCCAGTAAGGTCAATACACTTGTCTTGGATTCATTTTTAAGGATCCTGGATCATAAAATCACAGAATAGTTTGGATTGGAAGGGACCTTAAAGCTCATCTAATTCCAACACCCTGCCATGAGCAGGGTTTGCTTGAGAAAAAGAAAGATAGGCAAAAAAGAGGAGACGTCTCTTTTCCCTTCTTTACCTTTTCCCTTAAAAAAAAAAAGTAAATTTGTGCGTAGAAGAGAAAAAGACCCCAAATCAGTGGTTTTACCAGGAGCTAAAGAGCTCCTCACATCTTTTAGTGCCGTTTGAACCCAGGCTGGGTAGGGCCTTGATTTAAAAATGGGTGATAGATAATTCAGAAGTTGCAAAGTCTAGACTGAGGTTTGAAGCCTTTCTCTTTGTCCCTGGAGCTGCAGGTTCTTTCCAAGCCCATCACCCCTCTCTAAAACCCTCGAGATCATTGCAGTGCTGTAGTTTCCAGTGAGTGCAGGGCTCGAGGGAGCTGTGCATGGTGGGCAGGGCCCATGTGGAAGTGCCTGATGGAACTGTGCAGTGCTAAAATGAGTGCCTGTGATTTTAGGTAACGGTGCTCTTGCCTGCTGCTGCTCAGAGCATGAACCCCACCAACCTGTCCGTGCTCGGCAGCGTTGCCGACCCCCCCCAGCCAGTGGCTCTGGAGCAGGGGCCACAAGCAGATAGAGTAAGTGCCAGGCACCCTTTCCTTTTCCATGTCCTGATTCCATTGCTCCATCATCTCAGGGGATGGCACGTGGCTGAGTGTGAGAAACTGTAGCACAGATTTGTACTGTCTTCCATAGTGTCACCATGAAATGTGTGGGGTTTTTTTAGGAGAGATCATGTGTTTAATATACAGAGAAACTTGTTGTACAGATGGTTCTGTCTTGAGCAGCCACCTTAAAATTCTCCTCTAGCGTTGGAAAGTGAAGATAACAGAAGGTGTAACGCTGACTGTCACAGCAACATCCACTTGCCAGTGGTCTCCTTGACAGCGTTTTCAGGCAGCTTTACTGGGGGTAGGATTTTTTGTTCTCCACCTGAGAAACCTGTGTGGATGATGAAATATGCACTGCATTTAAAATACTTAATTGTTTTTTTAGGGAAATAAAGGGATAAACTTGAAAATTAGTGTAAGAATGCAATGGTCTCAACTGTCCTTCATGGCCCATAGTTTATATCTAGGCCCCATGTTACCTCATCCCTCATTATCTCTGCCTGTGTGCTTTGGGGATTGGTTTTAAAAGATCATGTACCAAAGTGCAGGATTTTCTCACTTGTACAAAAGAAGTTAAAATACAGCTTTAGGCTCTAGATTATTTCCACAGAGCCTGGACTTTGTTTCAACAGTTCTGCGAGGGTGCAGAGCTTCCCTGATTTCAGTTTCTTCTCCTGGGAACTGAGTTCTTGGAAGGGTGGAGGCAGGGAGTGACACAGAGGTGTCCTGAGCGAGGCCTCAGCAGCAGCAACACAAAACATCCCTCAGCAGTTGTTTATCAGCTGCTTCACTTCCCCTTGTCCTTCTCTCCATTACCAAAGGAAGCAGGAAGGGTAGACTAGCAAGGACCTTCATTGCTCATCTTTATAAGTGTAGTTTTCTTCCTGAATCAGTTTTAATGGTTTGTGAATTCTTTCCCCAGGCATCATTACCGGTGCATAACCAGGTGTTACCTCCCATGGAGGCAGTGGATGGTTCTGACCCTTTAGCACCTCTGCAGAATCAAATAGAAAGGATAGAAACAAAAGAGGAAGATGATGAGGATGAAGATGAGGATGAAGATGGGGAAGACTCTGACATGGATGAATGGGATCCGGATCCACCTCGACCCTTTGATCCCAATGATTTGTGTAAGCATTTGAAGTAGTATTTCATGTATTGCCTGCCCTCCCCTTTTTTCTTTCTCCTCCATCAATAAATGGAATTGAGAACAATTCCGATTTTAGCAGTAATGAGTAAACACCTTTATGCCCAGAAATGTGGACTCACATTGGGCTGCTGTACTGACAAGACAAGATTCTGTCTTGGGTAAAGTCTCTGAACTGCTTCGTTCTTCATTTTGCAGGAGGCTGCCCTCTCTAATGTTGTAAAATCTAGACAGACTATTGGCATAATGTTCCCACAGCTGAGCCAAAGAGGTTTAGAGAGAGATAAGGCTGTCTGTGAGCTGCATTTGAGTGTGTGCCTGACAGTGTCCTCTCTGCCTTTGTGTGCAGGGTGTGAGGAGTGCAATAATGCACACCCCTCGGTGTGCCCCAAACACGGCCCTCTGCACCCCATCCCCAACCGGCCCGTGCTGACCCGGGCGAGGGCCAGCCTGCCCCTGGTGCTCTACATTGACAGGTTTTTGGGAGGAGTGTTCTCCAAACGGCGCATCCCGAAGCGAACACAGTTTGGGCCTGTGGAAGGGCCCCTGGTCAGACAAACTGAGCTCAAAGATTGCTACATCCATTTGAAGGTAAGGGGGGGGGTGATGAGAGAAGAAGGGATCAGTTTGTGCCTGAGCTTTGATTTTCATGAGTTTGTCACTTTATCTTGATCGATAGACATGTTCTTTTGTTCCCTTAGTGTAACTCAGAAACACTCAAATTGCTTTGGCTCCTGTGCTGGTTTAAAGGTAAACCAGCAGGGGAAATGAACTCCACTCAAAAGCGAGATTATAAGTCACAATAACAATTTAATAAAATAATACAATAAGTATGATTATACAGACAAACAATTGGTTTTAACCCACAAAACCCAAATATATAACCCAGCACCCTGGGGCATGAACAGAGTGGTGTTCTTTGGGCCCCCTGAGTCCAAAGGAAAAGGAGAGGGGAAAACCTGTTGGTGAGAGTGCTGTTGCAGTCTGGTCAAGAGTGGTGATTGCAATCTGGTCGAGAGTGGTGATTGCAGTCTGGTTGAAAAGTGGTGGTTGCAGTCCAGTCGAGAACGGTGGTCTGCAGTCTGGTTGAGAGCAATGATCTGCAGTCTTCCTCTGGATCCCACGAGTGGTTAAAGACTCCAAGATTATATCTTCCAGTTCAGGCAGGAATGCTCAGTACCTCCCTCAGGGTGGGGGTTCCTTAATGGGTGTGAGGACAAGAGCAACTCCTATCTCGCAGGCCTTTTAACACCTAGTTTATAGCCTGAGGAGTCAGGCTCTATGTGCAGATGGTGTAAATGGTTCATTGATAACAGTTTCTGGGAAATGGCATGGAAGGCTATAGAATACACAGTTTTGGGTTACACCCATCCAGTGATGAACTGGTCTCAGCTGTCCTAACTAGGACAGCTCCAAATCTGCTCTCTTATTCAGGGAGACGCACTGATCCTAGTGAATGTTCTGGCTCTATAGTGTTACGATATATAGGGTGCATAACATGGAAGGCTGTGAGTCACTCCATGAGCTGAAGCAGCATCTGGACATAAAAACAGCAGCCCCATCTGAGAATATTTTACAGCCATTCTTTTGTCATGCTGTAACTTCAGTTCAAAATACTTTTCGTCCCTTTCCTTTCTCTTCCCCATAAGATGGAGGGGAAAGGAGAGATTTTTCTCCCCTTTCTTATACCAAGTCCTTGATGTAGGGTAAAATGGATTTGACTGACTTTTATCTATTCATTTACTGGTTTCATTATAGAAATTGGTCCTTTATTTACTGGAGTTCAGGCCCACAGTTTAGTACTCTGATGGGTAGTGTCTGACAAGCAAGTTGTGACTATAGGCAGATTCAGCAACCAAGAGAAGTTCAGCTAAAGAAGTGCTGCTTCCAGCTTGAGGCAATGTTACGAGTCAAGAAATGAAAGGAGAAGTGGGTCTGCCAGTAAGAAACATCTGACTGATGTTTCTGTATCTTACTAAAGCTACAGCTCATTTATAGCCACAGGGACATACTGTGCCTGACCCTTTTAATGAATGATTCTTGTCCTTGAAACTCTTGGAAGGGTCCATCATGTCTCCCTGCTTAAATCTCTGCCCATTTTTAAGTACTTCTCTGCCTGTTTCAGGATCCCTGTTAGTAAAGAGAAAAAATGAGCTATGCCTTCATTGCTCCCCTAATGTAACAGTTGCATGGGCACAGTTGTTAGTAACTCAAATTCTTTTGAACCAGGCAGTTAATTACAGTCACATGTAATTGGATTTTGCTACAGGTTTCTCTTGATAAGGGTGACAGAAAAGACAGAGACTTGCAAGAGGACCTGTGGTTTGAACTTTCCAGTGAGGCTCTGTGTAACTGGATGATGTTTGTGCGTCCAGCCCAGAACCACCTGGAGCAGAACCTGGTGGCTTATCAGTATGGCCACCACATCTACTACACCACCATCAAAAACGTGGAGCCCAAGCAGGAACTCAAGGTATGACATTGCTCGTGTCTCAGGGTTCTTGTTTTCTACTGATTAAATAATCTCTTAAGAGTTGCTGCCTAATAACTGCATGTCCAAGTGCCAGAAAATATTGCTCTAAATAGTTTTAGGGCTTTTTTTTCTCTGATGGTCTGAGTCAAATGCCACTAAAGTCAGTAAGTAGTTGGCCACCAACTTAGGAATTGTAATAAGCTTTGACTCAGGTAGAAAATCAGGAAGTTCAATAAAACTGTGTAAATTATTTGTCTCTCACTGTCATGCTTTACACTGCATATATTTTGCTGCTGCAGTCTAATTTTTATTGCAGCAATCTTACTCTTTTTAGTTCTGAATGCCCCTTCGAGTTAGTCCTGTGTGCCCTTGACTTGTTTTTTGATGCCTTAAGTGAATATGGTCTCTCCCTTTACCTGACTTTCCTGGAACTTTTGAAACTTTGCATGTGGAAAATTATAAAGAATATTGTGACTTCCCTGTGAGTTAGGTTTTGTTCCCTCTCAAAACATATTCATTACTTTGAGCTCAAAGCAGCAAGGCTGACTGAGATGGCCTTCAGTTTCAACATCTATTGGAGCACTGGGGGAAACTAAAAAATTTTGATATCAGGAAATTGTTTATTGTTCTTCAAATCTCTTCTCGCACGTAGATGTCAACAGTTTATCTGGAAGAACAATTATTTTAAGCACACTCACTGAACCAGGGCTAAAGACTGTTTATACACTCTAAGAGTAGGAATCTCTGAAGCTGAATCACTAGAAATCTTATTAATCCATTGTAAGTGTATCCAAACATCATTTTCTCAGCAGTTTTTAAAGCAATTTGAAATCAGACTCTAAATCTGTATGGACCTGCCTGTAGAAGCATAATTTTTCTTACTCTATGTGTTAGCAGTATCTTTTGGGGTAAAATTGGTTTGCTAATTGAAAGCCAATTGCCTGAGCTCAGTAATGGGGTTTCCTCTCCAAGTGGATTTAGAGGATTCATACGAATTTTGTCCAGAGATTGGACTGTGAGGATCAGTGAGTTAAAGCTGGGAAGTTCTGTATTACATGTCAATTGAGTATTCCAGGAGCTCCAGGCTTTCCTTTTTGCCCAGCCAGTGAGATTCCTACAGAGTAACACACACCTTGAAATGCCACCCACCACTACTGTGGAAATGCCTGTTGCCCAGTGCAAGTTAAAACCTGCCTGGATTTTTCATGCTGAAAATCTGTTCATGCCTTCTCTGAGAAATTCTCTTCTAAAACTGTCCTTTTTTAATCAAACAGATGGAATGATGCAAGGATGCAAGAATTCTCAGCTAGATGTGAGCATCTGCTTTCAGGCTTTAATAAACTTTGTCTTCCTGCCTCCTGTGGTTCTAAGGCTTCCTAAATCCCTCCTATAACAAAAGTGGGTCCATCATGCTGCCGCCTGGCAGATCTTTGTTTTGCGAAGCAGGACTATATTGCTGTAATCCTTTGGAAGCTGAGAAACATTTTAAATGAGTCTCTGTGGATGGTGCTGCCTACTGTCTATGTAAAGAGAGCAGAAAAGAAATGTGAAATCCCCCCAGTTAAAAGTTTTTCCATTCCCCTTGGTACCACAACTAACAGGGCTCTGCTGTTACACAGTTGGGTTTGAAGAAATTAATCTTATTTCCTTTAGACCTACTGATAGTCTTGTGCTAGATTAACATTCATATTGGGAGGCTAGACCTTAAAATTAAATGGAAATGCTTTCTGAGCAAAGCTCTTCTATTCCTCAGCGGGAGCATATTGATCTCACCAGGCTTTACTATTGAGTATGAAAGGAGCAGTAAGTGAGTGGTTGAGGCAGGTGAAGTAAATGTGTTGCTTAAAACCCATTTTCAAATGAATTCCCTTTAGTTCTGGTTTTAAGTGCTCTGTTACCTTTATTCCTGCTGCAGGTGTGGTATGCTGCCTCTTATGCTGAGTTTGTGAACCAGAAGATCCATGACATAACTGAGGAGGAAAGGAAGGGTAACTTGGGCTCTTCTGTTGTCTGCGTGATGGTCATTGGGTGTTGCACTTCTTATTCTAGAGCATATGGCCTGTATAGTGCTCCCAGATTTCTGCTAGGTTGGGAAAAGTTAAACCAGATCTAGATTGGGTTATTGGAACTTACGTCCACTAACTCTTCTCATGCTAATATTACAATAATTTAACCTTTTGCCTCAGTTTCTGGAAAGTATTAGGTTGCTGCTGGGAGAGGTGTGTTTCTGTACACAAGGTCTAATGTTGTGTCTGCATCATAAATTGATGTGCAGCTGCTTTAGACTGATCTCCCCTAATTTGTGCCAGAGACACCATGCTGTGCTCTTCCATACAGGGTAAATTTCAGAATCACCCTGCATTTTAAGCATTTGATAGTTCATATGAATTGTCCAAGGACATTTTTGTCTCTCTGTGATGGGCTGTCGTCATGGCACACTGCAGAGGGGATAAAAGCAAAGCCAAATGGAGCAGTGCTGGGTATTCTGCAGCCTGTCCAACCTTCAGGGGAGAGATATGGCCCAGAGAGGCTTGGGGAAAAAGATGAGGTGTTTAATTGGTGAGGCTGAAATGCTGTTACTGACATTTCAAATTGAACACAGTTCTCAGGGAGCAGGAGAAGAACTGGCCCTGTTACGAGTGCAATCGGCGTTTCATGAGCTCGGAGCAGCTCCAGCAGCACCTCAACTCCCACGACGAGAAGCTGGACTTCTTCAGCAGGTACTGACAGCTTTGGCTTTGTTGCGTATCACTGTGGTACTTCCCCAAACTTGCAGAAAAGGGGCTTTGCCCTACAGATCTTAGGGACCAACTCAAGAGAGAACAGCTGGGCACCAGAAGGAAAGAAGGTGGCACCAGAATCTGACTGGTTAAGAGAATTTGTGAAAGAAGTAGCTTGAAGGAAATAAATACTCTATTGAAACCAGTGGGATTTTTTTTTTCTTATTTGGCTTTTGGGGTTTTTTTGCCAATGATTTAAAAAATTATAGTATTTCAATACTGCAATATTGAAATACTGATATTTCTCAGATGAATGGAGATACAGAGCTTTGAGGACAAGGCTTCTAGTGCCTTGGCTCCTTGTTGGGCTGGCAAGACAGTTGATCCTATTAAAAACTGAATCTACAAACATCCATCACAGAGCACTGGTGCCTTTTTTTCCCTGAAATGTAGTGAGTGGCTCTCACTTTGTTTTGCTTTTTTGTCACAAAATTGTTCCCTTCTAATTAGGACCTGACATCAATGGCTAAGTGCTTTTTGGGGAGGGATGTTGTGGCTCTAGGTTTTAAATTGGTTTCCTTGTGCACTTGTTCCATGTTGCTGAAAATGCTTCCAACACACTGCATGCTGGGGTCTTGGAAGTGGGAGAGTTGCCATGGCAGAGGACTTGCTAGAAGCCAGTGGTCCTCTCAGTCCCATGATTACTGAAATAAATTTAATGTCTTCTGGACTTTGGTTTCTCATAAAGCACAGAATAAATAGATATCAGCCAGAAAATATTGTTTCTGCTGCCAGAATTTCTTCAGGTTTTATTATTTACTGGAGGTCATTGTTGCAGAGTCGAGTGGGTGAACAGTGATGCTGAGAAAGAATGCATAAAATCAGTAGAGAATGCAAATCCATCTCTTTTTTGTCTTTAACCTGTGGCACTGTGTGTTCTGCAGAGCCAGAGGCCGAGGTCGTGGGCGAGGGAAGAGGAGGTTTGGACCAGGCAGACGCCCCGGGCGCCCTCCCAAGTTCATGCGCATGGAAGTAACCAGTGAAAATGGGGAAAAGTGTGAAGAAGGGACACAGGTATATTTTTGGAGATGGAAAGGAGGAAAAAAATATCCTGTGGGATGTAAACTCTTGACTAAAAAAAGAATTTGGGGCATTAGTGTAAACTGAGGGTGTGCTTTGTACTTAAACCTAAGTAATTCTTGTTTTCTAACTGCGATTCTCTGCAGGAGAGCACACCACTTCCCTTCCACTGTAAAATCACTTGCATTTCTACAGCAAGTTTCATCCCAGAACACTTAGCAGTGAGGTGGGTTATTGCAGCACTTTAGCAGCATCACAGAAGTAATTTAGACAGTAAAACTGTAATGGGAATTTAGATTCCTATTTGTACTTTCTGGAATGTGAGATCAACCTGCTCTTATAACTGCTGCTGGTGGAATTAAATCAGTTTGAGCTATGGTTCTCTGTGATGTTTTAATATTAACCGAAGGGCCTCCTGTAGGCAGGCTTATTGCAAAATGTTCTTTTGCTTGTGGCTATTGGTTATATTCTGTAGGGACCCAATACGATGCATTCAAGTAAAATGCTAAATTCTCTGATGCTGCCCATGCTTAGGTTACCACTAAGTCCTTTTCTGAGTGGTGTCAAAAGGGATCAGTGCTCTGTTTTATGATTTAGCTGAAAGCTGATATCTGGAGTGGTAATTTTCCTCTGGCGTCTCACTGGGTCATGGCTCTGTGCTGACTCAGAGGGAGGAACGTGTTCTCTGCCTATGGATTCCTGCTGCAGTGCCCTAAATGCTGCATTAAGTGCAGGCTGACCCTCTCCGCAGGCTGACGTGACACCTCCCAGCCCTCTTTAGACAAATACACATACTGCTGCTCCCAAACCCTTCACTCTGGGGAGACAGGGCTTGCTGGGCACAATCCCACATTAATGGGTGTGAGTGGCCTCTGGACTGGAGGTGGCTCATGTCCTGCCAACTTGGAGCGTGGCCAGGCCTGGAGTGTCTGTGCAGTGGAGCAGGGCCACAGTGATGTCCTAAGCCTTTGGAGGTCTGCCCACTTCCCTGAAGACCAGGCACAAGTTCTGCCTGAGAACTTTAGAGTCAGGATGTGAGCACAGTCTAATGTCAGTCAGGGTGGAAACTTGTCACCTAAATCTGGGTCTCTCTGGTGAGCAGTCCTGGTTTGTAAGGGCCTCACTCCTCCTGGCACCCTGGTTTTCTTCTCCCACACCCACTTTTGTGCTTTGACAGCGCCAGCCTTGAGCTGACATAATTCTGGTGCTCTGCTTCCTAGCTTGTGCTTTTAAGTTTCCTTAGCTGCATTAAGTGGTGTCAGGTAAGGATCTATGTGTGATTTTTTTCATGTAATACAGAAGAATTCCATGCCAGAGAAGTTACTGGAACTTACAGGGAAAGAATGTAGAATTTTGGCATGTGCTTCCCACTCACAACACCCTCCCTTTTTATGGTAATTCAAAAAAGGAGGAAAACAGCTTTGTGTGATAAGTGTTAGTGATGTGTGCAGCTGGGGGGACAAGAGTTTGCAGAGCTGGAAACTGGATAGAAAAACACAGTGCACAGTGTAATCACCTCGTTTGTCACTCTCTAGCACTCCAGAGAGTTTGTTAGAAAGAAGACACTACTAACGACACACAATAATGCTTCAAAGTGCAAACAGTTTCAACGAGACAGGAATCCTCTCCTTTCCCTGGTCTGCACTAGTCACTTTGGTTGTAAGATTTCTCCCAGACCAGGTTGTAAGATTTCTCCCATCATCATCTTTGGTTAAAGCAGAAATAGCCCTGAGTGCAGAAGATTGGATAATGTTGATTTTCTGTGGCTGGTCAGCGGAGTCACCCACCTGCAGCGCTGCTTCCCTGGCTCTGAGCAATGTTGCTGTAGGTGAAGGTGATGTGGGAAAGCATCAGTGGACATGGCAGGAGAACTGTAGGAGTTGGGGTATACATGTTTTGTTCATAGCTTGTGATGAAAAATGTAGAAATCCTGTTGTCTGCTGAGTGTTGTCAAAGCGTTTCTCAGTGGGTGGGGGGAATAATCACCAGTTGTATGATTTGCGGTTTCAGGACTTGCTGCATTTTTCCAGCAAGGGGCAGTTTGATGAGGCCGGACAAGCCGCCCTGAACGGGCTGGAGCAGCAGGAGCAGACTCCGGTGCTGCCGGAGCCGCAGCCGGCCCTGGAGCAGCAGGAACCCCCCGCGCTCCAGGTGCAGCCGCAGCATGAGGGCAGCACGGGGCCCACGCAGAGCACCATGACAGCAGATGACATGAGGAGAGCCAAGCGCATCAGGGTAAGCGCTGAGGGATGGCAGAGCACAGCCCCCCCCTCCATCCACTGTAAGCCAGGGAATGCCAGACCCACCTGCCAGGAGCAGCTGCTCTGCCTCTCACTGTCTATCCACCTCCAAATCTAAAGCATCTCATTCCTAGCAGGTTTCTTAGCACTGAGGAAGGCAAGTCTCACGTTAAGAACCAATATCTCAAGTGTTAGTGAGAACTGGTCAGCAGTTGGAGCTGATTGAATTGCAGCACAGTCATTCTCTCAGGGAACGCAGTCCATCCGAGCTGGCGAGCAGGGTGGCTGCAAACAGCCGGTGGAATTGTGGTGCTGTGGCACAGACTAATGACTTGCTCACAGCACTATCTGTGTCTCTCAGAATGCTACTGCAAAGTTGTCAAAGAGAAACCACAGCTACAGTTTAGATCCACTTAAATGGTGATATTTAGTGATTAAAATTCTTTTTTGGGGTAGAAAAACGTGCTTTTGAGATCAAAACCTGCACTAAGAGCTTTGTGTACCAACAGCAAAAGCTTTGAGCCTGAGCTCTGTGTCAGCTGGGTGAGCTGTTTTTTTCTCTACTATGTGTGGGAGGGAAATGATTCGAGCAAATAATCCTTGAAGTTGTGTAACTGGGAGATGGGTTTATTTAGCTTAAAATCTTTTCCTTTTTCTTCCCTGTATAAAATTTGGATTAAAGAAAGGAACAGCTGCAATGGGGGTAAGAGTTCATTTTTAGGGGATGAGAAAGGATTAGGAAAGAGTTGAGTTGTTCTGTGTAGGAAGATGTTGAGACAAATTTTGCTTGCACTTTATAGCAATACACATGTAAGGCCAGTGGTGGTGTTACCCCAAAAATGCACATCTTGAAGGAAGGATTTGGCTTGGGCACATTAAGACTGAACAGTTTTTAACCATCTGAAATGCTTGCAGTCTCCAAATGACAAGGTTCTACCAGTAATTTCATTTTCATAGATTAAAATCTTGAGAGATTTTTACTGAATGTATTGAAGGGAAGATAACAGAGTACAAAGAGAGGTGCTGAGTTTTTGTCAGTAAAGAGCATGGGGAATGGACTGCTTACAGTGTGCTACAGCTTCCTCAGTAAGAAGAGAAAGTCTTGGCCATTTCCCTGAACTTTGGAACCCAAGATATGAACTTCGAATCTTCTGAAATAGTGAATATGGGAAGAAAGGTACAAAAATCCTGAAGTTACTTGTCTTGTGACTTAGCTTGGAAATTCATCACAGATGACAGCTAAGAGGGTGCAGTGGTGGTTTAGTGACACGTTGGTCCCTCAAATCTTCCTAACTTCCCATGCATCTGGCAGCTCATGTTCAGCAGAGTTCTGGAGGTGTTTCAAGCCAGAAGCACTGGCAGAATGGCAAACGGATGGTTGCACAGACCCTTCCATATTGCATCAGACTGTGAGCAATGAGCACTGAGTTAAGGCTAAACCAGCAAGTATTATTTTCTAAGCACTGAAAAATCACCCTTTGAACACTCAGTCAGCTCAGCTATTCACAGCACCTGCTTATACTAATGTGTACTTAATAATATAAGCAAGCAAACATTTGGATTTTAGATGTGTAGTATACATTATTCACTTCCAAAGAAAAGGTAGAAAGTCCTGACTGCTATAATCCAGAGACTTGTGTAGCTCTACTTCTTTATTACTCAAATAGGATTTAATTATCAAAAACAATCATTCTTTGGGAATTGCTTCAGCTTTTCTAAGGTTTAAGGCAAAGTGTTTTCATTCTAGCTGGAAGCAGTTATCTGTGGTGCCCCAGGATTCAAGTCCTGATAGGATCAGTTAATTTTTCAGCCTCTGCTTTATAGCCTGTGGAGTTTCCTTGGAGATCAGACCTTAACTATGGCAGTTGTGTCCCCAGCATTGCAAAGAGATACACCCACCCTTCGAGATACTCTTGTAACACATTAGAGGAACAGAGTGGTGCACAGCCAAAATGAATGTTTGTTTTTAATTCAGTTGTGAGCAGTATCTAAAGTGTCTATGTGCTGATGCCAGAACCTGGCAGGGATAGAGATATGATTTGGAAAGCACAGTCACTTCCTTCGTGCTGAAAGAAATGCAACCAGTTGTGTAACAGGGAGTACAGCCAGTAAGATGAGGTTAGAAAAAGTCCCTTCTCCTTAACTTTTTCACTCTTCTAATCCCTGCCCTATTGTCATCCTGCCCTAATTATTCCCTTCTGCTGAAAGCATTTCATTCTCACAGTGGCTCTGCCATGCACTGCATCATTGTTAATCAGCCCCAGAGAACAGGAAAGGTCACAAAACACCTTCAAGATTATCTTTGCCCTTTAACTCCCTTTAACTAACTACAGAGTAAACCTCAAAGGTCTGTTTAGTGTTTCCTGAGGCAAAAACCTCAAAGGAGTAAACTCCAGTTAGAAGAGCTGGCCCTTGTAGTGACCTGCAGAAGTCAAGGCTTCTGTTTTCAAGTCCATTGCATAACATAAGTATTTTTCTCTCCCTCAATGCTGCCTGTTCAGCTGGAGCTGCAGGTAGGTTTGGGTTTTTGCTTCATTGGGTTTTTGCTGTATCTAATCCAATGGGACATACCAACATCACCTTCCATTGTTGTTTTGTCCAGCTCCTGTTTAGTGTTTCCTGATTGACCCCACACTGTAAATTGTCACATTTGTTCTTCTTGAAGCAACCACTGTCCAGAACTAAGTGTAACCTGAAAAACTATTTTGCAGAACTCTAGTTCTTTTCATGCCAATTAATTATAAATTTAAGGTGGATATTATAGGAGTAAACTGCTTGGGTGAAAAGCTGTAATATCCATCTTGAAGTTTTGGAGGATTTGTTTGCACAATTGTTTGTGCTGGATTAATATTATGAGTTAATGAGACAACACTTAGTTCTCTTTTTCTGTTTTTATAGTTGATAGCTTATCTAGCCAAAGAGCAGTAAAACAATTCACCCTTCTGTAGCCCTTGGATAGCAGTGAGACTGAACACAGTTATCCTGCTGTCTTCCCACTCAGCTCCCGGGTAAGGTACCAGTGATCAAATAGCAAATTAATAGTGCAGTTCAGGACTTGAAGTGCATTTCTTCAACTATATGTGTTTTATTAACATATCCCTGTGGTTCAGGGGAACTTATGTACTCATGACTCCATACAGCGTATTAGTTTTTACACAGCACATGTCTGTGTTTCCAGTTCCTGGGGTGACTTACAGCAGATCTCTGTATTTCCCATTGTCTCACTTGTAAAATGGAGAATGGAGATGATGACAGTTCATTTGGAGCTCCTGTATGAAACTGTTAGGTTTTTGAGTAACTCTCCCGTTCCTTTCCTGGAATGGAAGTCTAGGTTTGCCTCTGCAGTTCAGATGGTGAAAAGGACCTTTCAGGCTCACAAATTTAATCCTTAACACAGCATTTCACAGTATTCCCAAGCTGTTCCCTCATTGCAGCAGAAGAGCTCCTAACTTCACTTATTCAATGTCAGCTGTTGGCAGGCACTTAAGGGACGCAGCAAATGTCAGCTGTGTCAGCTGTCACATTCCCACAAGGAAAGGAGAGAGGAAACCAGGGGAATCTTTTTTCAGAAGTCTCAAATGTAGCTCAGGGAAAAGTGGGTCATATGGAACATGTGTGAGCAGGGGTATCAGCAGTGTCTAGTGCTATTTAGAATCATGGAATGGTTTGGGTTGAAAGAGACCTTAAAGCTCATCTTGTTCCATCCCCTGCCATGGGCAGGGACACCTTCTACTAGCCCAGGTTGCTCCAAACCCCGTCCAACCTTTCCGTGGACACTTCCAGGGATGGGGCAGCCTCAGCTTCTCTGGGTAACCTGTGCCAGGGCCTCACCACCCTCCTAGCCAAGAATTCCTTCCTAATATCCCATCTTACCATGCCCTCCAGGTTATTTCTCTGGCTTCTGTGTGTAACATGTGAAAAGAGAAGACATCGATAAATGACCATTTATGGATCTTAATTTGGAGAAGAGAAGATAATGCTTAGACTTAATGCTTAGAGCATTGCACTGTACTTTGAGTGCTGTGTGCTGTGAGATTTTATACATGCAGAGGTAGCACCTAATTCCAGCTTTCCAATTATCCAACATGAAATTTTAATCCAGTATTGAAATGCAGATGCAGGACACACTTCCCTCTTTCTACAGGCAACATGTACAGCAGCATCTGTTCCTCCAGCAGACACTGCTGGATTAGGACTGGGATGGCTCTATAACATTTATCTGAAAGGGAGAAGGGGAAGAGAGAATAATCAGGAAATGTCACAGAAAAGGTAGAGTGAAGGAAAACACACCAAAACCAAATAGGGGCTGAGAAGAGATGTTGTGCACAGTAGGAGTGGAGAACTGCTCACAAGTTGTTACCTGCTGTTCCTAAACCTGCCATTCTGCCCCTGCTGTCATGTTTTGAAACGCTATTCTTCTTTTTCATAACAACAGAAAGGCTTACAGTAGCACCTCTTGAATGTATGCTCCAGCAGAAGTTTTCCAGGCAATGCTAAACCCCAGCTGCATGTCTCTGTGGTGATCTTTGGTGAGAAGGTGATGTAAAGGGCTGTGGAATTTCATAAGCCCTGCTCCTGAGGGAAACAGGGCGCTGGCTCACCATCCCTTTTTATGGTGGCTGAACTTGTGACCTGATCCCCCAAAACCAGTGGGAATTGCAGCTTTTCTCAGGCCCAGGTCTGTACTGCAGAGAGAACTTGTCTTTAGCATGGTATTTTTCTGTAAAATAAGCTAAATAGAAGAAATCAGGGATGGAGAGGAAACTCTACACTGTGTTCTGCTAACTCAGGGTGTAACTGCAGGTATGTCCCCTGACTCCTGCCTGTCACAGCCTCCCCTGCTGTGAAATGGAGACAGAATATGATGCAACATAACTTTTTGAAGTGTAGGTTCGCTGCTCATCTGGTATATCTAATCCTGAGAATATCTGGATGTGGAATCTATCCTTCAAGAAGCTAAAGGTATCTGGGATGTTTCTTTCAGAATGCAGCTCTGCAGCACCTGTTCATCCGGAAATCCTTCCGGCCCTTCAAATGCCTGCAGTGTGGGAAGGCCTTCCGGGAGAAGGACAAGCTGGATCAGCACCTGCGCTTCCACGGCCGGGAGGGTAATTGCCCCCTGACCTGCGACATCTGCAACAAGGGCTTCATCAACAGTGGTGCCCTCGAGAGCCACATGAAGTTCCACATGGACCAGAAAACCTACTCCTGCATCTTCTGCCCCGAGTCCTTTGACCGCCTGGATCTGCTCAAAGACCACGTGGCCATCCATGTCAACGACGGCTATTTCACCTGCCCCACCTGTAAGAAACGCTTCCCAGATTTCATCCAGGTGAGGTGCCCTGCTGATTTGAAGCACTGCCTTCTGGGTCTCTCTCAAGGCTATGGATTTTTCAGCCCTCTCCCTGTGAAATGCTGCACAGGAGTTCCTTTGCACATGATGAAGGGATCCACATCTGTCAGAAACTGAAAAGGAAGAGTGACCAAGCACTTGTAGATGTTGTCTTCTGCCGCTGAAGTGCTCTGTCCACTCAGTCATCAGATGTGGTGCTTCAGTCTGGCATTTGAAGACACTGTACTGCAGGAGGCTGGGTCCCTTATTGCCCAGAAATGCCCAAAGCAGAGGCCCTGGTTACCACAGCTCCACGGCACAAAAAGGGATTGTCTTTTGCCGTACTCTGCTTGAACTTGAACATACCTTGTCCTTTGTCATTAGAACTCTGAACAAAAAAAAACAGTGGTTTTTCATCTTTAATCCCTTGCCTGGTTTTTGTCAGGATAATTCATTTAAACAGCTTGCAGAAATGCCAGAACAGATCAGGATACTCTGCTTCCTGACTTCCCCCCTGGGCTTCAGCTGGGCACTTTGTTCTCCTCCCCTGCACACTGCTTAGGACTGCACTGGAGCAGTGGGTAATGCAGCTACTCTGTGCAGTGAGCAGAGCACTTGGGGAAGGTCATTAATAGAATTTAAAGATTCTATTTCCACGTCCAGTAAGAAAAAAACTGAGATGTACCATTAATATATTCATTAGTCTTCCTAGGGACAAAGCAGTTGATGTGTCTTACTGAGCAGCCTGACTGAAATTGAAATGTAGAAAGCCAGTTTGTATTAGTAATAGGAACTGATAGACTGTCCACTAGGCTAAAGAGGAAAGGATGGGGAAAAGTGATTTACTAATACAACTCCATCCTGGCAGAAGCCCTTTATCTTCTGTAAATGTTGCACAAGGAAAAATTTTGATGATTCAGAAATGCTGTACTGCAACCTAATTCCCCATAAACTTTCTCATGCAAATGATCAAGTCAGAAGAAGGATCCATGGCTTTTTTCCAGCTATTCAGCTCTATTTTTGAAATTTAACAATGATTTTTTTCTCTTCTTGCTATATGAATAATTATGTCTAGTCACTGCTGCCTACTTAAATACTTTTATGTGGAACACATAAAGACACCAAGTTGTTCCATGTATGATCAGTATTAGAATATGGTAGAGATTTAATTAGAGATCCGTTTCTTGAGTAATGCTTGCATTTCAAATGTCAAACCTCATTAGTTCCTTTATTTGGGGGGGGGAACCCCACTAGATGTTTGAAGAGGTCAAGGATAGTCTCAGAGTATGGAAAAGTAATTGCAAATGCTCTTCTGATTAAGGCTCTTTTTTTTTGCCAATTGTAATTGCACTCTCATTCTCTCTGATTGAAAGGAATTAGTCCCTGCATTTAGATTTCTTACAAATGAAGGGAAGATAATGAACCTCAGATGAATGTGTTCACTCGAGGGTGATTCAGTACAACATCGTGGACCTTTGCTGCCCATTAAGTGCAACTGTGCAATAGCTGATGCCTTCAAGAATCAATCTTGAAGAAATCAAATCATCCATCCATAAAGATGTTATGGCTTTATAGAAACTATTGTTGAGATATCTGTTCTGATCAAATACTTTTTAAACCAAAACAGATTAGACAACTTCAAAACCTTTTTCCTTTCTTTCTTTTCAATAGGGTTTCCTAGACTGTTTTACCACTCACTTCTCTCTTGCATAAGCTCCATTTTTGTATGATCTGCCATTCCAGGTCAAGAAGCACGTGCGCAGTTTCCACTCTGAGAAGATTTACCAGTGCACAGAGTGTGACAAAGCTTTCTGCCGCCCTGACAAGCTGCGGCTCCACATGCTGCGGCACTCGGACCGCAAGGACTTCCTGTGCTCCACCTGTGGCAAGCAGTTCAAGGTGAGGTGGCTCTTGGCTGGACCATTCCTGGTACAACAAACACCATTTCTTGCCCTCCTTCAAGTAGATAAGCTCATGTTCTCAAAGGTGGAAGCAAATAATATGTGTAAACATGGTAGACTTGCCTGCAAGTTGCATGTACCGCTTGGTGTTGTATGTGAGCTACAACATCCATTCCTAAGGGGCAAGGCCACCCCAGCATCTTATTTCAAACAGATCTTATTCCTAATAATTTAACAGCAAAGGAACTTTCTATCTGCTCATTAAGAACTAGATCATGATTCAGCTCCACTAGCAGGTGCTTGGGTTGTATTGTTTATATCAGTTCAGTAAAGAAACTGCTTGCTGATACCAGTGAATTAATCTTATTCCTGACAGAGGTGCCTGTGTCCATGGCATCCATCCTGTCAGCATGTTATCCAGATGCCTTTCCAAATCCCACCAGAACAGATGGAGTGGACTGTGAGCCAGGTAAACTGTGGTGGCGGCAGCCTGCTCCTTGTCACTGAGCTTGTAATGGGACACTGAGGGACTAAACACTTTTGAGTGAAGAAACACATTTTTCTGAGAGGAAAAGCTGGAGCGAGATCCCTGAAAACTCAGATTCATGACAGGTCGTAAGGCAGTCACTGGTGTGGTGCTGACATTTTTCTCCCTGATTGCTCTTTCCCAGAGGAAGGACAAGCTGCGGGAGCACATGCAGAGGATGCACAACCCGGAGAGGGAGGCCAAGAAGGCTGATCGGATCAGCCGCTCGAAAACCTTCAAGCCCCGGATCGCATCCACCGACTACGAGAGCTTCATGTTCAAGTGCCGCCTCTGCATGATGGGCTTCCGCCGCAGGGGCATGTTGGTGAGTGCCTGGCTGCTCCTACAGCCTCCTGCTCTATCCTGATCAATAGTTAAAGAGGGAAGATGGAGATAGTGGTTGGAATGCAATGATCGTAGAAGGCTTTGGGCTGGAAGAGACCTTAAAGCTCATCTTACTCCAATCCCCTGCCATGGGCAGGGACACCTTCCACTAGACCCATTTGATCAGAGCCCTGTCCAGCCTGGTCTTATCCAGCCAGGATGCTGTGAAACAGGGCGAATTTTATAGCTGAGTTGAGGTGATACATCTTTTTTTTAAACCTGTGTGTCTTATCTCCTCAGCAAATCTGTCTTTGCACAGATTGTCTGGTTGTCACTCCCATATTTCAACGCTAAGTAATGCTGACTGATGTGTAATGTATTTAACAGAACATGAGAGGAAAATATTGCCTAATTCAGCCTCACAGCTTCAGTTTTCTCAGTCTCTTTCTGTGTTTTGTTTCTCCCCCTTCTTGAGGGCCTCTCCTGGCCATGCCCTGTCACTGCCTCTGGGTGAAGGCTGTACTGCAGCAAGAGATCTTGTTTGCAGAGGTTTCCTGTGATCTGGGCAGAGGCCCTTTACACTACCTCACTCTCAGCTGCAAGACAGTTCTGGCGAGCTATTTTACCCCTTCCCATCTTATTTTGATTAGAGAAACTGTAAATGAGATCTAGCAAGACCACATTTACCTTCAGCAGCCAACTGTGAGTGCACAATACCCCTTGCAGCAGCAAATGCTTCTGGTGCTGCTTACTTGCATCATTCACTTCTGGTTTGGCTGTTATCCATGTCTGGGAGAAGCAGCAATTGTTTGGTTTTCAGCTGTAATATGTTCTTGTTCTCTGTGTTTCTTTTTCCTAAGGTGAATCATTTATCCAAGAGACATCCAGACATGAAAATAGAAGAGGTGCCAGAGCTCACGTTGCCCATCATCAAACCCAACAGAGATTACTTCTGTCAATACTGTGATAAGGTGTGTGGGAAGTCACCCCTCAGAGGACAGCTCAGTCCCAGACCTGTATGCAGCCAATTCGTCTCTGTATAGAAATCTCTGGCAGGGTTTGTAGCTTTTTCTGAGGTGGTTGCCAGCAGCATTCTGCTGTACTGTCCAAAAAAAATGAAGACAAAATGCACTTAGGCCAAGGCAGTGGAATGCTAATTGAAAACTGGAGTTATCCTTTTCTGCTGTCTTTGGCATTGGAAAACAACTACTGTGATCCAGCAAACAGTCACTGACTCTTAGTCCTGTGTCAGCCCAGGATTAAGTATCCTGTCTGTCTGTAGTTCCTGAACGCGAAGTTCTTTTGGTTTCTGTATCACTCCTAAAAGTCTCTAACTCCTTTTACTGTAAGCTGCTCATTTAGTCATATGCCAGTAATTCCAGTGTTCAGTGGAGCCTGAAGCTGTTTCTGCAGTGCCTTTGTGTTCCCGCTCTTATTCCCTGGCCTTTGCTTTTTGTGCATGGGGGCATTTATTTACCAGGCAGTGTATTTTATATGTCCTTAGCCTCAGTATATTCTTCTGTGATGCCTCCTTTCTTTTGTTTGAAGGGAGAAAAAATAGTTTTAAATAATATTACAGAATATTCATTTGTTGCTGTGCCTAAAAAGAATTAAAAAATTATGTCGATCACTGAACTAAAACAGTTTGATGCTTTGTGTGTGAGGAGAGTGGAGGCATCGATCCTCATAACAAATGAACATTGGGCAAATTACAGCTTTGGTGATCAGTGGCTTCTCTTACATTTGATCTTCAAGTACCAGGCAAAAAGGGTTTTCCTCTTGCCTCCTTGTCCTGCTCTGAGTCCGGTTGTGGCATACAGTATGTTCTCAAAAGGCTTCTGTGTGCTACACAAGAAGTTAGTTGTTTTTACAGACTGATTAAGCGCTGGAAGGGTTATATATGTTCATGCATTATGTTGTAATTTTGGGGGGATTTAACTAAACATAGAGAATCACAGAATATGCTGAGCTGGGGGAGACCCATCAGTATCATCAAGTCCAATTTATGGCCCGGTGCAGGACACCTCGGCAATCCCACCATGTGCCTGAGAGTGTTGTCCAAACACTTCTTGAACTCAGACAGGCTTGGGGCTGTGACCACGTCCCTGCGCAGACACACGCAGACCTTCCAGATCAAGATAACTGGTAGCTGTTTTCAGTGTGCAGTGCACCATTTTAATTCCAAATCTTTCCCCTGCAGGTGTACAAGAGCGCCAGCAAACGCAAAGCACACATTCTGAAGAACCATCCTGGTGCTGAGTTGCCTCCAAGCATCCGGAAGCTGCGTCCTGCAGGCCCAGGAGAGCCGGATCCCATGCTGAGCACCCACACCCAGCTCACAGGCACCATTGCCACTCCTCCCGTGTGCTGCCCTCACTGCTCCAAGCAGTACAGCAGTAAGGTACGAGGCGTTTTGGCCCCAAAAGGTACAGCCTGTCCCTGGTGATGCTCTTTCACCACAGCCCCTGTCACCTATCACTCTTAGTCTGAGTCAGAGCGCTGGTGTCATGGCGTGTGCTGACAATGCAGGCACAGCCTGCTTGTTTTAGGGCTAAAAGGTTCCCTGAATAGAGGACACAAGCTTGAAAGAAGGAATGGAAAAGTTACCAGAGCATGATCACAAATGGAAGGGCTTGGAAACTGCTCACTGACAGTTACAAGGGAGAGGAGTGGGGAAACAAAACACAGAAAAGATGACCTTCAGAAAAAGTCCCCCAAATACTTGGCTGTGTTGGGGTAAAAAGCTACTGGATGTGCTCTTTGGGGCAATATTTCAGTGTCAGGTAGCTCTAATCAGCAGCAGCTTTCTGATCCTTGTTTCTTGACCAGAGCATCCCATAGTGTGAATCTTGATGGTGCCTCACTGAGGGAAACCTAAAAGCTGCAGTTGGCCGGACTGGTGGATTTCACAGAATCCCAAAATATGCTGAGTTGGAAGGGCCCTGCAAGGACCATCCAGTCCAACCCTCAGCCCTGCACAGACCCATCCCCAAGATTCACACCCTGTGCCCCAGAGGATCATCCAAACCCTCTTGGAGCTCTGGCAGCCTTGGTGCTGTGCCCACTGCTCGGGAGAGCCTGTTCAGTGCCCAACCAGCCTCATTTCCCATGGCCCCAAGCAGTGTTCCTGCCCATCCTTCTAACAGTGTTTGTTTCTGTAGACAAAGATGGTACAACACATCCGTAAGAAGCACCCGGAGCTCGCTCAGCTCCCGAACACGATCCACGCCCCGCTGGCCACGGCCGTCATCAGCTCCACCCCCGCTGTCCTGGCCACCGACAGCACCACCGGCGAGACCGTCGTGGTAAGGGCTGCAGGCCAGGGGAGGGGAACAGCCACAGCAGAGACCCTCTGGTATTAGTGATCTTACTTGATTTGGCAGACATCATTTTAAAGGCTGTGTTAGGACATGATTTGAGATCACATCTGGTTTTGAGTCTGGTTTAGTTTTGCTCTGCCAGGAACTGTGTATTTCTTTCTGGAGCTCTTAAGGATTTGCCTTTTTTCCCCAACTCCATTCCCTTCTTTCATTCAGACCTACTGACTCCATATAATACATTCACACGTGCCTAATGAACTCAGAAACACACATCTCATGGATTTTCACTGGGACTACTCCCCTGAGGTACTTGCAGTTCTTGGGATCAAGAGAACGTGTTTAACAGTGACTGGGAACTGGATCCAGTTGTGTTCAGGGAGTCAAGATCTCTATAGGCCTTTGGACAGTGCAGCACTGACTGGTATGAATCTCCAGTGGCTGATCTTTGTTAATACATCAGCTGCCACAGAAGTGAAAGCTGAGACTAGAAAATCTGACATGTATCCCTCAGGGGTGCTGAGATGCTGCATAGTTGTAGAAATCCTATTGATCACAGTTTAAAACTGTTGGAAGACTAAGTGGATAAAAGACTGTTTTGCTTGAAAAATGAGAGGTTCAATCAGGATGCTGTTGGCTTCATACACCTCACTAATTAGATGTTACATGGTTTTACTTACTTCAGAAATAGAGTTGTCAAGAAAAGTATCAGTCTGGAGGAGGAAAGATGGAATATGACCCATGAAGCGCTTTCTGACTTGGAAATGAAGTCAGCTCCTTACAAATGCAGGACTTTTGTTGTCTAATAGAATATTGTTAAGTCAGAAGGTTAAAATAATTATTTTTATTATGGTATGTTAAGTTAGCCCTTAATGGTCCTCTAGTGGATGATCCCTGGTGATTATTTATGACCCCAACCTCTGCACACATTGAGCTCTTGTAAATAAATAACCAGGCCCAAGGTAAGTGTAAATTCAGTGTGAGGAAAGAACTACAGCCCTGCAAAAGTGCATCAATATGTGAAGATGGTTTGTATCTCTCTCCTTCTCCCTGCTCAGACAACAGATTTACTGACCCAGGCCATGACAGAGATATCCCAGACCCTCACCACGGACTACCGGACTCCCCAGGGGGATTACCAGCGCATCCAGTACATCCCTGTGTCCCAGTCCACAACTGGCTTGCAGCAGCCTCAGCACATACAGCTGCAGGTTGTTCAAGTGGCCCAGGTGAGTAACCTGCTGGGAGTCTTGCTGTGCTTTTGCCCCCTTCCACACCAAGCCTGTGCATTCTTGGGGCTGTAGCACTCAGAAGTTTGTTAAGGAGTAGTTACAAAAGGTGATGCAGACCATTTCTTACAGATAAATCAATTGATAATGCATAGGGTTCCCTTCATAAGCATCGTGTACTGGGCATAAATAGTCCTGCCAGCCTTGGTCAGCTTGCTGGAGACATACCAACACAGTCTTGACTTAATTCTCCCCATCTGGGCACCCTCGCTCGAGTCTGCTCCAGCAACTGGAAAAGTGGGTCAGTGGGTGACCTGTTTTCTGCACTTCAAGACTAATTTGTACTTCCTTGTTCTCGGTGAACCAGAGCCAAAATTTGGGAGTACAGAGAGTGCTTGCTTGCTCCCTTCATATCATCTATTAGAATATTCATTCCCTGATGCTCAACAGCCTCCTAAAAATAAAACCAGAGTGTAACTAGAGTAACTGAGCAAGATAGGCAGCTGTAAGGAATCACTGTAGCCTTCAAGTCTGTTATCCACTGGGTAAAGCTGAAACTACCATTTGGTTGGATTTGAATCTGAAATCCTGTGTTCTCTCTGGCCCCTCGTTACAAATCAGGTTATGAACTGGGTTAATAAAGGCCTAAACAATGGCCCCAGTTAATAGTGACTGTGGCTGTTGTAACCATACAAGAGCATGAGTACTGATTCCTGCAGTATTATTAATATTATCAATACCTTTATTTTATCAAGATCTGAGACTTGTAATTAAGTTACTGCAATTGGTATCATTAGCAGGTGTTGTTCAAAAAATCCATTAAAAGCCTCTGGCCCCTTGCCTTGACGCAGCTATGCCAAACTACAGAATTGGATATGCAGATCTCAAGTATGTGAACATTTTATAGAAAGATGCTAATCCTGGTTTTCAGACCAGTCACTGCCACAAGCAGCTTGTATGAGCTCAGGCAAGTCCTTGCCATTGAGATCACTGAGATAAACCATCTCTGTGCCATTACATCTGTTAAGTGTACTTTACCTCCCAGGAGTGCAAAGAAACTCAACAGGCTTGAGCAGGAGTGCTCCACTATGGCTCCTACCTCATTATTCCAGACCTTCTGTCCCAGAAGAGATTTACATGGCTGCTTCTGTAAAGAATTTGAAATATGCACCTCTGCTTATTTTTTTTCCCCAGGCTACCTCACCTCACCAGTCCCAGCACTCCACAGTGGACGTTGGGCAGCTCCATGACCCGCAGACATACACCCAACATGCCATCCAGGTGCAGCACATCCAGGTCACAGAGCCATCGCCAGCAGCTCAGTCATCACCACAGGTATTTCCCTCTTCTCTTGCGGGGAATCTTTTCCCTGCCAGTCTGTTCCGCTGACATATCGCATGTGCTGAGGCAGGAGATAGTCTTCTCTATGTCACTTAAAGGACCACACATGAAATGACTCTCACATGAACATCTCTGAGATCATCAAGTAGTTCCCAGGTGTCCCAGGATGTATGGGGGTGTTTTGTTGTGGTTTTGTTTGGGGTGTTTGTTGTGTGGGGTTTTTGGTGGTTTTTTTTTTCCCCCTAAGTTAGAGATAAATAGTTGGGAACTGACAAATTTGCAGCTTAAATAGAGTTTTTTGGTTAAAATATGTAAATGGAAACTGGCATTCCTCAAATATTTGAAGTGCAGCTCTTCGTTCTCTTGGGTAGAATTTAGCCTCTAATCTCCGTTCTCTGCCATAGACTCACTTGGGCAAACAGCATCTCTGTTTTTCCTGGTCTGTGCTTACTGGCCATAAAGTGAAGCAAGTTAGAGGAGAGGGAGGAGAGTTTTGCATTTCTTGTGCTTGATGTGCTCTGGAACCCACCCTGTGTTTTCCCTTTGTAAGAAGGATGTGTCTGGAAGAGCACAGAGCTATGCAATCCTTACCACACCAAGAACACTTACACCTTTTTTTTCTTTAGGTTGGAGGTCAGCCTTTGAGTCCCTCTACACAACAACCCCAGCAGGAACTCAGCCCTTCACAGATGCAGACTGTGACACCGACACCAAACCAAGGCCTGCAGCAGCAGCAGGGCTCCTCAGTCCAGCACACGTATCTCCCCAGCACTTGGAACTCCTTTCGGAGCTACTGTGAGTGCCACAGTACTCTCACTACTTGCCTGGCCAGTGTGTGTGACTAATATGTGCCCCAGGTCTCCAGCTACCAAACAGGATTGTGTTTTCAGAGCTCATTAAGCTTTGGGGTTAATATTCATAGAGATCAGGAAGATAAAGTTTCAGACAAATGCAGATGGTTGTTGTAGCTCTTCTGCCGTAGGTCCATCCTGATTCCATATGTGGTTTGGGCAGGCATACTGGGCTCCTTTATTCCAAAGAACTTGCACTCAGCAAGAATCCATATGCTGGACAGCAGCTAGTTCAGATTTGGATGAGTGCTTGAAAGAACTGTACAGAACAGGAGGGTGACAGGAGATGATTTCTCATGTCCATGCAGCTCTGGATGGTAATTCTGTGATGATTTTGGTCAGAACAGGGTGTGTTGTCTCTGCAGGAGTTGCCCATTCTGCAGTTGGTGTTAATTCTGGCATAATTCTGTTGAGGCCTGTGGAGTTTGACAGGGCTTTACAGCACCTGAATTTCTGTTCAACACCCACTGTTTCAGACTTTAAATCTTGCTGACATAAGACATGATCTTCCAAAGTTGTCTTTGAGTTTGATTCAAAGTCTTGATTCTCCAATTTCTATGTTTTAGCATCAGAGATTCAGATGATGACCATCCCCCAAGGGCAGTACGTAATCACAGAGACCGCTGTGGGTACCCCGGTTACCACTGTCAACACGGGGCAAGTGAAAGCAGTTACTCAGGTAAAGAAAACAATCGTGGCCATTTTTTCATCCAGAATAATACATCAGATGTAAAGTCTTCGGCTTGAAGGTTAAAGCAATGCCAAATTGATGACTGGGGCACAGAGTAAAAGCATAATGTGGTACCTAAAGAGGTCCAGATTGCACAGTACAATCTGTGTGTAGCCATTTACAGAGCCCACACTGTCTGACCCTTGTGCGTATGACTCCTTCCAGCTTATAGTGTTCTTTTAATCACATTTGCAGGACAAAGTATTATTTAGTGGTACTGCTTAGTCTTAAAAATATTTATGATTAAGCTATATGTATTAAACCAAATTTCAGAGCAGCTCCTGGGAACATTTTGATAGCTTGTTGTTATCTGTAAGGTTACAAAATAAGAGGAGTTCCTGCTGTCTTATCTTGTAAGCAATCCAGCACAAGGAGGCAGACAGGCCACTGCGCTGTGTTGGTATTGGACACTGGGAGTGCAACTTCTGCTAGAATACATGGAATATAGAAAAAACCTTGCAGAATACTTGTATTCAAAATTGTTACTTTAATCTGAAGTGATGGGGTTTGTGTAATGAGTTTGACAATTCATAAATTATCCAAATGCCAAGTCCAATGTCCTTCAAATCAAAGGACAAGCGTTATGTTGCTCTCAAATACAGTTATAAATGAAAGAGTTTCATTTCCAAGTTCCTTGTTCATCCCAAAATACCTTCCAGCAGACTATTAGAACAGAGAAGTCACAGAAGATACAATGATCAGTAATCATTTCTGTTCCCCCGCAGACTCACTATGTGATCTCGGAGGGTCAGCCCGACCTGGACAAACAAACGTCCTCGCTGCCCAGCGAGGTACAGGTGGGTGTTTCCCAGCCCCCGGAGCCCCTGGAGTCCCAGCCGAGCAGCCAACAGCAAACCACCCAGTACATCATCACCACCACCACCAACGGCAGTGGGGGCAGCGAGGTGCACATCACCAAACCCAGGACTTTCTCAGCAGAACACGAGTGAAGCAGCCCCACGGTGTCATCTACTTGTCTTGTCACCTCCCTGACAGCCCAGATGTGGGGGTACCCTGGGGCTCCGTATGTTTTGATCTCTGTTCACTTACCTTCAACTAAAATCTTGGAGCTCTTGTTAATGCTTTAAGAGGGTTTAAGTCCCCAGTGACCATGAAGTATGCTCAAAATCCTTCTGGGATGCTTTTATGCAGCTTTTAACAAAAAGGACAAGAGAAGTGAAACCTCTCCTTGCCCTGGATTTTATTTTTGGCATGTCTGCTGACCCTTACTTTTCGTTTTTGGAAGTGTCTCCAGCGAACAACTTTTTATTTCAATTGTATGGGAAAAGCTTGCCTAGCTGAAGGCATCCTGGCAGATTGTTGTATGTATATTTTTAACGGGAGCCTTTAAACAGGAGGACATCATGTAAATTGCCAGAGTATGGCAAAACTGCTTCCTGTGGCTTTGTTTCAGCAGCCAAGGTGAAAGGGAATGTCCCAGCTCAACATGAGCAGACTGCCTGGAGAAAGGAGCAGCAGCAGCCAAGTGGTGGCTCCTTGTGTCCCTGTGTGGGGATGGATCAAACAGTGAAGATGTGCCGAAGCAGTCCATTAAATTATCCTTTTTCCAGCCCTCCAGAACTGTTTACATGCTGTTTGCCCTGCCCTGTGTTACCCAGCAGTTCCACAAAGAAGGAAAAGGGGAGTCTTGTTGTTGGACAAAGTGATTGAAATCATAGTAGCACCCGAGGGTACTACGGAGCCACTGTTGACTCTTTCCCCTGCACTGTTCAGAGGGAAGGTTGCTTTTTTGCCTGTAAACAAAAAAATAAAAGGCTCAGCTTAACCTGCACTTTTGACCTAAGATAGTTGTGCCAGGAGAAAATGAGGGTACAGGAGCACTGCTCTGAAGGGACTGGGTCCTTATCTCTGTGGCCACCTCAAAGTGAACATGTTTCTCCCCTTCAAGACTGGATGGAGAGTTGGTTACTCTGATTTTTTTCCAAATAACCTTTTTAACAATGCACTGTAATTCCTTTGGACAGTTCCATAAAAAGACCAGCCCTGGACTCAGGAAACACACCAGAAACATGCTTGTGGACCACTGTTTATGGGACACAGAAAGCCATCTGTGAGGGTTGCCTGCTTTGGTGGACCTGGTCTGTGTACAGAATTCATGTTGCATTTAGGGACCAGGAGAAAGGGAAAGAGAAGGTTTATCTTTTAAGGCAGTATAATATTTTTTTCCTTACATAATTCTCCTTCACAGGTCTTGTTGGTTGGTTGGTTGATGCTTCTGGTAGTTGCAAGAATATGTCTAGAACTCCATTGACTCCTGATGGGATACACCACGTATGTCTGAACCTCCATTCTCTGCTGGAAAACTCATCCCAGAATGTCTGTGCATAACAGAATACATTTATTTATAAAACAATAACAAAGAAGGATGTTGTGTCTTAGAGGCCCTTACGACAGAAGAACTTAGAGAGGTTTTTTTTGATTTGTTTTCTCTTGTGCTGCACTGAGTGTGAATGCAGGACTCATGTTCATGAGTATTCCCATGGATTTATGTGAGGATTACCCATGAGTAAGCACTACAGATTGTGGTATCAGGTTTTATGGAGTTAAAGCTCTTAGACACAGGAGAACTTCACACTCAGGCTGGACAAGAGGAGGTCTGGTTCCTTGTGGGCAAAGCCTTGTAGCGGGTATTGCTTTGGTAATTAACAGATCTGTTAATATGGCGTGGAAAGAGAGATGAGAGAAATCAGATGGCAAATCCTGGCCAGCTCAGAACTGTTCTGAGGTAGCTTTAAAGAGACTTGCCAAAATGGGGATTAATTTATTCCTGGGATTTCACTTCTCTTGCTGTACCACCATCTTGGGGCATCAGTTAGCTGGGTAAATTTAAGGAGGACCAGAGCTGCCATTTAGTGCAGTGATGAGTGACTTTAAATTTCATGGATTTGGGAGCCCATCGACTGTGGTAGTGTGGCCAAGTGACCACAATGCCTACTAATTAATTTGAATTTGTATTGCTGAGGACTTTGGAATTACAATGTCAGGCATTGCGATGATGTTGGTGTGGGAGAAGAAGAGGGAGATCTTGTCTTGGCTTTCTTCATGCTGCTGCTTATTTAATAAAGAGCCAAAAATAGTATTAGCAGGAAAATAGCAGACTTGGAAATATCCAGGGCAATACTGCCCTACAGCAGCAATTTTATAGTCTTAAATGTTTGACAATAGATGAACACCAGACTTGTTCCCATTAACAATGTTGCACATGTGGGGTTTAAAACTATTTTTCTCTATTCACCTTTGTTGGAACGGTTTATGAACAAGGACAGATGTACCAGTTATTTAAAATGGAAAACTACAACAGAAAACCATTTTAAAACTCAAATCTTTTTAAGTTTTTGAACTCAAATCTTCCTCATCAAAGTTTTTACTCTGTCCCTCAGCAGCACAGTCAGTCCATAACTGAAGTGATTCCAAGTGTCCCAAGTTAAACTAATGCCCTGTTATGGAAGAAGCATCCCTGGAAATGGAAGTACCATGAATTTTCCTTCCGAAGTAAGGAACTACAGTGATTGCACAGTTGGCAAAAAGCAAGCAAGAAAAAAAAAGACAATGATTGCATGGATTTTTTTTCCCATTTCTGCAGTGCAGAATGTATAGGTTGTATTATTATTATTATTATTATTATTATTACTATTATTATTATTATTATTATATTTTTAAACCAGAGCAACCCAAAGATCTCTCCAGTCATGTCCCACAGGAACGTAACTCCAGAGTCCTCTTGGTTGCCTGCAAGGTCTATGTTTTGCTTGGGGATTCAGGCTCCTCAGGGTCTACTGCTGTCCCCTGGAGGTGTTTTTTGGGTCAGATCCTGTATTTTCCTGGAGGAAAAAGAAAACAACCCCAACCCACGCACCCTGACCGTGCACCTCTCAGACTGCTCGGGCCCCATCTCTTATTTAAGTGTGTATGTTTATTGTACATTTGGTGACTGTTGTTGTGTTCAGAGTCTCGTGCAACCTGGCAGGTGTAAAAAACAACACCCCCCCCCCGAAATTAATAAATCTTTTTCTCTTTTTTTTTTTTAAACACTTGTGATGATTGATCTTTTGGGGGGGGGAAGGGGGAGGGGGGGAGATGTGTTCAGTGGGGGGTGAGTGAAGTGGGGTGGTAGATAAAGATATGGAAGTTATAGGGAAAAATACATTTGCTTCCTGATGTCCCACAACACAGTCCAAGGGGGGCTAAAGGGAGGTGGAGACCCCATGGCTCTGCCTCTGAAACCCTTTTAGAGGATGGAACGTGGTAGTATTTTCCAGCTGATCAACCCCACAGCAGCTGAAAACTAAGGACTACAGGAAGATGTCCTCTTGAATCAGCAACTGTGGTGAAATCCCTATCCTTGGACTGACACGTCCCCATCCCAAGGTTATCGCAGGTACTATCCTGAGGTATCTGCCCTCAAAGTATGACCACCCCTCACTGAGTAAAATGTATGACCTCCACCTAAATGTAAAGAAAAGTTAAGACTGGGGAGAAGTTGTGGAAGACTCCATTGTAACTTCTGGGATCATTCATTCTGGGGTGAATGTGTCTCTCCCCCATGAGTGCCCCTTGGGTAAAAACTGCATGAATGATTGATTATCTTGAGCTCCCTTTCTCTGGGGATTAGAGCTTGTCTCTGTATTGCTTTGAACATGTTTTTGCAGTCAGACACTATCGCTGGCAGTCCTCAAACCTCAACCCATCACAATGTTATTAATATTCTCTAAACTGTTAACTGAGTCCTTCAAGGGCGCTGTCAGTGGGTAAAGTGTGGAGACCACGGACGGGTCTCTCTGTTTGCTGCATTAAAATTTAAAATACAATTAATATTAGCACAGCGTATCAATGACTAATCCACTTAATAGGACTGCAATCAAGCCATAGAAACCTACAACTGATATGCAGCTTCAGAATTCCACAAATACTTTTTTTTTTCCTGAGAGACTTAGAGAATCATTTTCTTTCAGAAGATCCTCTGAGCGTTGGAGATGAATTCCAACCTAAACTTCCCAGGGGAATCACAAATCACAGCAATCACTGTAGAATCAGTGGAACTCTCCGATCTGGTGAACTCGGTGGAGGGTCCCCATGAGGGGACGGAACAGCGGGTACGAGCGCCTCGGCCTTCCCGGGGCGCGTACAGCCTAATTAAGCACTCAGGGTTCGAGGAAATCTTCCGTTTGCAGAGACGCAGGTCCCGCCTGTCGCGACGGGCCCTGCGACCACCAGCACCGAGCGCGCGGCCGCTGCCGCCACGGCGGCCTGAGGGGCGGCCCGGCGCGCGCTGGCACGGGCGGTCGCGCAGGCGCGGGCAGCGCCCGCCGCCTTCCGCCTTCGGCCGGGCCGCGTGAGGGTATGAAATAGACCGATTTTCTCTCTTTTCCCACCTCCCACCAGGGTTTAAGCCTTTTTTATATTGTCGTGTTCTTATTCCGCGTGTTTCATGCGTTTCCTCCCAGCCCTGAGCTGCCCGGCTGTTGCAAACCGTGCCGCTTGGCCCTGTCACAGCTGCACGTTCAGCCTGAGACAAACTCCACCTCACACTTGACCTCGGTTCTGCGCCTTAAAACCGCTCTCAGGGTTTAAATGCAGATTTTCATGGTGTTTTGCACTACTGAAAGCAGTTCCTGCAGGTGGGAAGCGAATGGGTCACCTGCGCTTCCCAGTCTACCTGGTATTCCCTGTCTGGAAAAGCCTGAGGGCTTTTTCAGGGAAAAAAACAACCCTGTGACGGCTCTGTTGGCGTGACCTGTGTTGTAATTGAAGAGGAAATTTTTATATAAAATTATATATATATATATATATATAATATATGCGTTGTAATTGAAGATTACATTTTAATGCAAGTATATGTATTAAAAATATCTTGTTATATATGTATATATGTTGCAGCCAAATGTCACAGCTTGCAATTCAACAACCACCCATCAAAGGTGGCTTCTCAGCCATTCGTCACCTGGGAGTGGGTCTGTCTGGGTTTGGCATTTTTGGTTGTTCAGGGCTTTATTCTCCTTGTGCAGGAGCAGGAGGGGGTGAAGGATGGACTCCCTGGACCACATGCTCACGGACCCCCTGGAGCTGGAGGGCAATGGCAGTAGGATCATGGAGGACTGTATGCTGGGCACCACCAGGGTCAGTCTGCCTGAGGACCTGCTGGAGGACGTGAGTAGTGCTGAGACAATTTAACTTTTCATAATCTGGATTAAAAACATGTTTAACTCCCTCTCTGGCTGTTACAGAGCAAACTGAAAAGAGGGGAGATGTTTCTGACTGCCTGGGAAAGGTGTCAAAAAGGGCTTTGATTAATCTCAGGAAAACATCTTTTGAATCAATTCTGTTATATTCTTATTTTGAAGTTGCTTTTAAGAAAGCTGTTACAAGCTTTGAATGACTTTTCTGGTTATTAGGAGTATCAATTTCCTCGCCTTTCCTCTTCATGCTGTCTTGTTACTGCATTTGATGAGACTGTCTCATGTCTGGTGCTAATTCAGCACAGAAAGCCTCAAGGACTAGATGATTGTCAAGGACCTGGATGCATTTGCTTCACTGTTGTTTCTTGCTTCCTTTAGCCTGAGATCTTCTTTGACGTTGTCAGCTTGTCCACGTGGCAGGAGGTCCTGACAGACGCGCAGCAAGAGCACCTAAAAAAATTCCTGCCTCACTTCCCTGAGAACAACCGGGAGCATCAGAACAAACTCATCTTGGCACTGTTTGGGGGGGAGAACTTTCGGTTTGGGAACCCGCTGCACATCGCCCAGAAACTCTTCCGGGGTCAGTGAGCTTCTGGGTGAGTTTGGGGGAAGTTCAGAGCCAGCAGTGACACCTCAAGTGTGTACTGTCTCTGTCGCAGATGGACATTTCAACCCCGAGGTGGTGAAGTACCGGCAGCTGTGCTACAAGTCGCAGTACAAGCGTTACCTGCGGGCGCAGCAGCAGTATTTCTACAGGCTGCTCAAGCAGATCCTCACCTCCCGCAATGTGAGTCTACTCTGCCACTGACAGTTTGTCTTTATAAAACATGCCATGGTGCCTTCACAGCTCTTTGAGGTCTCTCCTTTAATGAATTTAATGAGTAATGTTTCTGGTTTTTCCAGTGGCACAGAGAGAACACCAGACCTGTTGTTGTGTTTGCAGATTTCGGGTTTTGTAACTCATAGCTCTCAGTTGTGTGTAGTGTCTTTTTTTGCATGCCCACCTTGCCCCCACTTCCTGCCTTTGCCCCTTTATGACTTACTGTCTTCTTAACAAGTCACTTTGCCTTTGTTTTCAACCATTTCTGTCACTCCGAAACAAGTACATTTGCTAAATGCATAGTTACAAAATATGTAGATACAAAACTCTAATCCTAATGCCTGTAAATCCCTGAGGAAGTCTTCCTCTATGGATACTTCTGTGAGCTAATTGCTGCCAACTGAAATCAGTTTGTTGTAAATACTCGCTCACTTATCTTTTATTGCATTTACGACATTGAAGCATATGGGATGTATGGATGAAGGTGAAAGTCTGTCTTATAAAATGCCCTGTAGTGTTATGGGAAATAGTATCAGAGAATCCACCTTTCACTAGACCTTGTTGCTCCTGGCCTTGAAAACTGCCAGGAATAGGCAGCTACAGCTTTTCTGGGCAACAATACAGAATACATTATTTCCTCTGTAGCCATAAGGGGTAAAACGTTTTCTTTAAATGAGGCAATATTCCATGTCTGTGTTACATTTTTGGCAAGGAAACTACATCTCACACCAATGGTTAAGTTCTTCTCAAATGACAGGTACTATTGTGTGTGCAGATGAAGGGGCAGAAACTTTGCCTTGCTTTTTTGATGGTTTAAAATCCTGGGTTTAAAATCCTGTATGTGGCAGATACTGATCCTTCCTAAGGGTTCCCTTATACAGGACTGAGGTGCTGTCGCACTAGCTCCACATGGGAACCTTGCTGGAAATACCTGAGCTGAGCTTACCTGTCCTGGCTTTAAGAACCGTAGCTGACACAGCTAATGTCACATGAATCTCTTCTTCCAGCACTTGCTGGAATTAGCCAGGAAAGGAGGCCCTGACATGACCCTGAGGAGAAGGCACTTCCCACCAACGTATGACTCGGAAGAACGAGACAGACGGACACATCAGCGCTACCTGAAAATCCTGAGGGAAGTGAAAGAGGAGTGTGGAGACACTGCCTTGTCTTCTGATGAAGAAGGTAATGCCCTGGGCTGAACTAAAGTCTCGAGGTGTGAATGGAGAAAGACACACTTTTGATGTGGGGACAGTGTCTCTGATAGAGCGATGAAATCCGGACTGTAGTTTTACTGGCTATGATCTAATGAACATGAGGTAATAGAATTACATAGACTGGTTCTAAGCCTTCCAGAAGTAAATTTATTTTTCTCTTTTAGAACTAATCTCTTGGCCTCCAAGTTCTCCAGCACGTTGTTCAAGTCCACCAGTTCCCCTGAGAGTGATCCCTACATTGTCAACCTTGGACATGAAAACAGCAGGTGAGAACCAAACTAGGGGCCAATATAGATTTTAGTGGGGAGAATTACTTTGAGACTTTGCAAGAAATCATCTTGAAAATGTATTGTTTGATGAAAACTTGTAATGCTTCATTTCTGCAGTCAACACAAGTTGGTTCTTCTCTCAGTTTTATAGCAGTAGTATTTTAACACAAGGGTCACAGTTTGTGTAATACTACCAATTGCTCTCTTGTATTCTGGCTTTAATGGTTGAAGCATTAGCATAGTCCAGTTCAAAACATTTAGGAATCCCAGTCTGCAAACCCTTCAGGCTGGTTCTGGCTTCTTTTCACTTCCATGGCTGCATCAGCAATGAAATCTGATGACCCAAGGAAGCACTGAAACAAAGGAGTGAATGAAATGCAAATAAGGAGAAATTAGTTTTTGAAATTTGGAGATTGCTGGACGTGAGAATGGATAGAAAATGTCATTCTAAGAAGTCTGCAAAGTAACAGTAGGGGAGTACTGTGCAAATAATATCTGAAATCTCTTTCACTGCAGACAGGATAGAACTTGGGGAAAGTGATTTGAAGAT